CCTCTGTCTGTCCCCAGGAAACACCGGCTGAAGTCCCAGAGTCACCAGCCTCATCTGACGGCCCCGTGTAGATCCGGAGCCTCCAGGAGCGGTTAGCTGAGTGGTGCAATATCTACTTCCATACGTCTCTCGGAAGAGGCGGCCTGTGCGTCCGCTCATCCAAAAAGGAGACACGATGTCACTTGTCAGCTTTATGAAAGACCAAGGAGTCAGGCTGCATCATCCGACTGTCTGCCCCCTGGACGAGAGGGAGGCCACCCCCGAACCAACAGTGGAGAAGGCGCCACACCGGCAGGGAGGGAAGAGACGCCCGGCTGGGAGAGGAGGCGTCGGCATCCACAGACCAGCAGGGAACCAGGCGCCACGGCCGCCAGTGATGGTGAGGACTGGGCACGCGGCCGTGGTCCCGCGTGTTAGGGAAACCAGGAGCCCATCTGGGGGTGAACAGGAAACACAGCTCTGGAGCCATAAAAACACACAGACTCCCTGACCCCAGAGTCGTGTCCTGAGACGTCTGCACTCACGCTTTTTAAGATCATTTTCTTAGCATAGAAGTGTTTTATGAAGAACAACAACAACAAAAAACCCTGGAAGCCATCAAACAGGAAACAATGGAAAGAAGATAAAAATTATGACACACCCACGGGATGGAGTATCTTATGGCCACAAGATGCCTTAAGTGTCCTATTAAGAGAAATGCAGCAATGTGAATGCACTAAATGCCACTGAACTGTACACATAAAAATTATCAAAATGGTAAATTTTATGCTCTGTATATTTTATTGTACATTATATATATTTACATACATTTATTTTTATATATTTATATTATATTGTATATTAAATATATATTTGTGTATTTATTTATGTACTTTTTACAATAAAAAAATTCTGAGAAGAAAAATCAAACACAAAATGCCTATACAATTAAAGTCATCCCCATCTATACGTATGTCTGTGTCTACTGCAAAGCAAGAAAAGTCCTCAGATAAAAGTGGGGTTGGTACCTGGTAAAGGGTCATGGGTGTGTTGTTTCGGAGCGACCTTTTCCTATAGTATTTAAAATTCATTATCAAAAGGATTGACGACTTTATCGTTATATGATCCTCTGAAAGATGGAATCCTGGAGAAGCTCCAGGGCTGTGTTCGGCCAGCGGCTAAGGAATATTTTAGCCCCTTACGTCTCCACCTTAGAATAACTCCACCTTCTTAAGAGGCCCGACACGAAGAACTCACTCACCGAGGCCTCGGCGCCAGGGGCTGAGCTCGGCCGGCCGGGGCAGCACCCTGAGAAGTGAGCCATCCCCACGGGTCTGTGCCGGGCCGGCTACATCCTGCATCCTCCCAGAGCCTTATCGAGGCCTCCCAAACACACTTCCTGCTGGTGACACACGTTGAGCAAGGCTCTCCCTCGCCAGGCTTCCGCCCAAGACTCCGCCCTGGCTGGCCACGGGCGGGAGAGCCCGTTTCTGGTCCCATATTGCAAACACTGCACAGCAGCTCACTGGTCAAGCAAATGGAGTGGGAAATTGGGACTCCCAGGGGACGTCAGAACTCTTCCCGGTACTTTGCTGTTTATTGTTATGGGATCTCAGAGCCCTTTGAGAATCCACTGCAAATGAAGGATGTTCTCTCCAGGAAAAGCACCTCCGTATAAAAGCAGGCATGTGATGTCAGAGAATTCACAGTCACCCCTAAAACCTGTACGCATCTGCTATTACAGAAAAAATACAAACAAAACTACCCCTGGACACCACTCCTGTCAGCACTTGGTGTACACCCCTCAGATTTTCTCTCCGCGGAGACATTCTTTCTCTCCACAGAGACATTCTTTCTCTCCGCAGATACAGCATCTCTGCAGATACATTCTCTCTGTAGATACATTGTCTCTGCAGATACATTTTTTCTCTCTGCAGGTGCATCCTCTCAGCAGAGACATTCTCTCCACAGGTACATTCTTGCTGGCACGACCTTAGACAAAAATGGAACTGTACCCCTGCTCTTTCCATTTAGCAATAGCTTGCTGTCAGTGGGAGGCCTAAGTAAGACCGCCCTGCCCACACCTGAGAAGGCAGCTGTTTGGGGTCGAATTATGTCCCCCCCCCCCCAAATAGATATGTCAGGGTCCTAAGCCCAGGACCTCAGAATGTGACCTTATTTGGAGACAGGGTCTTTGCAGAGGTGATCCAGTTAAAATGAGGTCATGAGAGTGGGCTCTAATCCAACAGGACTGAGTTCTTAGGAAAAGGGAGAAGACCATGTGAAGATGAAGGCAGAGACGGGCACGATGCCTCAAAAGCCGTGAACGCCAAGGATCGTGGGCAAACCACCAGAAGCCGGGAGAGGCCTGGAGCAGATTCTCCCTCAGTCCCCAGAAGGAACCAGCCCCGCCCGCACCTGGACCTCAGACTTCCGGCCTCCAGAACTGGGGGAGAGGAAACTTCCGCTGTTTACGCCGCCCCGACTGTGATTTTCGTTTGCAGTCCTAGCAACTAACGCAGTAGCCATGGCGACCGTGACGCAGAAAAGAGGGGCTCACATAATTCCCTTATTGTCAAATCGTAGGAAACGCTCAATTTATAACCAAGACTGGAGCCTCAGCCTTCCGCGTCACCTGACTGTGGAAAGGCCACCCTACCTCTTCCCGACCTCAGGCCTCATCTGTCAAAGGCACGTGATAAACCAATTCCCAGGGAAGGAGGATCAATTAATCTTCCCAAACCTCCACCCTCACCTCAGCCTCTCCCCCACCCTCCAAACTCACAGCCTCCTTGACGACTCGAATATGCCCAAAGCAGCAATCTTCATTAGAGGACTCTCGGCCTAAACTCTTTAGAAGTTAAGAGTTTCAGAGCTCTTACTCCACCCTGCCTCTCCGCACTGTCCCCTCCGTGGCGAGCGGCACCCCCATTCAATCTAGGGCTCAGACCAAACCCCAGGAGTCGTGCTGCCTGCCTCTCTCCTCCCCACATCCAATCCCCCGGAAAGACCCGGAACATCCCATCCCCACCAAAGCAAACGGCCCCGCCCAGCCACCTCTCCACCTCTGCCGCCCTGGACGACAACGGCACCACGTGTAACAGCCAAAAATGCCGCCGGCCGTCGCAGATGTCCTCAGCCGAGAGCATCTGCTCTGGTGGCACTCTGCCGCCTCGGCTCAGGTCCGGCCTGGACCCTGCCTCAGGCCTCCTGTGCGCCCCCTGCCTCCCGTCCTGCCGATGAATCGCACCCCGTGAGATTAGTCACCTGACCGGGATCGTCTGAGAACAAACTAAGCTAAGTAGATCCAGTTGAAATGAAGTCATGGTTTGAGACGGGAAAGGTCGTACTGTCACCTGCCAGATTCTTCCTCTTCAAATGGGCGGGAAACGAGCACGTCCTCCTCCCCATCTCTCCTCGTCCTTTGTGCATGTGACTGGGGACCAGAAGCCCCACATGGGAACTCCTCTCTCTCCTAAACCGTGACCTCAAATACAACCAAAGAAAAATGGATACTAAGGCCAAATGACCATTTCCACTTATTGATTGACTAACAGCTTTTTAAATTGAAACAGCTTTTTATATCAAAACTGGCCAGGGTGGCTACACTAACAATCAAATTCTCAGCTGGTGAGACTAAACCGATGCCGCCATTTTGCAAAGCTCTTAGACAAACACCAACAAGACTCTTTTGACCCAGTCATTCCATTTGGAATTTCAGCATTTCCATTCCTGAAAAGCTATTCTAAATAAACAATACTACATACAGAAAATAAATTATGTACAAATACGTTAGCGTACCATTCTTTTTAATATTATTTTTTAAAAAAACTGGAAACAACCCAAGTGTCCAATCATGAGAGAAAGGTTGAGAAAACTTTAATATATCTTCTCAACACAACGTTATGCAATCACTTAAACTGAGATCCTTGAAAAACACATAATAAATGAAAAATGCAGAACATAAAATTGCATCTATAACACGACTGCAGTTATGTTTCAAAAAATACAATGCATGAGGGGAAAGTAGGTGAAGAAGATACGGATGACTTATGTCTTCTTTCTACTTCTGAACTTTTCAGATTTTCTTTAAAGGCCACGCGTTACTTTACAATGTTTTTCAATGGACTGTTTTAAAGAGAAGATATAAACTCATTCCTTTGGGTCAGGACTACGTGTCTACAGGGCTCAATTCAAAAGTAAAATGCTGCTGGACGGGGGCTCAGACCAGAGCATGAGCTGGGCTCCCATGGGCCCCCAGGAGAGGCTGGGACAGTGACAGTGAAGCTGTGATCAAAGGACCAGGAGAAGGAACCTCAGGTGACACCCAGAGGGTAGCGAGCCGGAGTGAAGAAGGAAGGAGCCTGCATGGAGGTGAGGAGAGCAGAACGGGGTGGACGGGGGCTCGGGTCCCAAACTCCTACTTCCAGCCCCGTGGTCCCACCGAGGAGCCCAGGATGGGGGAATGAGAGGCACCCTTCAGGGAGGAAGGAGCTGTGTGGGGTCTCTCTCCTCAGAACAGAGCAGGTGGACCCCCCACTGCCCAAGTCTGAGGGCCACTTTCCTCAACCAGCATCTGCCAAGTCTCAGAGACACAGATTAACACGCAACCCGACCCCAAACGCCCCACAGCACATCCGCCATCAGAGCCGTCTTCTTTGATCCCAAGTGCCCATGGCACCTGTGACAAGACCCGGTCCCCACCTCTGTCCCCTGAGTTGAAAACTGTCAGCAAGCCCCATAAGCTATCGTGACAGCCAGCTGTCCCTGAAAATCTGAAACGCCTCCCGGCCCAGAAGCACTGGGAAGAAGATGAAGGGAGAATCTGTGGCCGGGAAGACAGAGCCCTGGAAGGAATCTGGCGAGGTCAGCCCGCCTCCTGGGAAGAACCCCAGGACGACGCTCACTCCCGTGGTCAGCGCACACCCTCCTGAGGGTCCCTGGAGGGAAGAAGGGTTTGACCGGCTGCCCTGCCCCAGTCCACCTGCCAAGGAGAAGACCAGGGCGCGGAAGCCTCTCACCTTCTCCAGCTTCTCGAAGTGCTCCCGCAGGAACCGCATGGGCCGGTCCGGCTTGGAGATGCAGAGGTGCACGATGCAGTCCTTGAGGACCTGCTGCACGCCGTGCTCCTGGACGTACAGCTCGCACCCCTTCAGACTCTCATCCTCCTCCGCAGGGTAAGCAGAAGGGGAGGCCATGGTGGCCGGCTGCTGGCTGCCTGTTAGGAAAACACCGGCCGTGCGGGCCTTAGAAGGGGCAGGGGAACCACGGCCAGCGCTCCGGGGTTTGGTAACTATGCATCCTACACCATCAGAAGCTCCACGCTGTGGTCAGATCCAACGACCCACGTGACGTGGTCCAAGTGTGTTATTTTGCACTCGTCAAAGGTCTTTCCTTCTGAGGGGCTACCGAGCTGTTAACGCAGCCACCGCCAGGGCCTCAGCTCTCAACAGATCCTTGAGGAACGGAGGAGGATCAAACATCCTCCTGTCTATGCGGTGAGAGAACCCCTCATCGCTGAGAAATCTGACAGCGGGGAAGGGGGGAGCTGCGTGTCCGCCTGGGCGGCTGTGTGGTCTCACTTGTCCATCTCTCTCCCCCTTTTTAAGGACAATTGTGCGGAGGGCAGAGCCCCCACCGGGGCCCCAGCTGGAGGGGGTGCCCCCCCCACCCCACCCCCAGATCTCAGGAGACCAGGGGATGGAAGGGCACTGTCCTGGGCCTGGGGTAGCCCGGGACCACCCTGCTTCGCAGGAAAAGAAGGAAACAGAAAAACAATTAAACCCGGCTGACGGTCTTGTGGGAGGGAGCGCCGAGAACAATGGCAGGGCCGCCGCGTTCTCGGCGCCGCGCGTCCGGCTAAGTCACAATGACCGCCAGCAGCCGCACGGCCGCGGGGACCCAGGCCCCGGGGCTCTCAGACGCCAGGAAGGCCAGGCCCACGCCCCCTCCCCAGGCCCGCGACCCCGCTCCGGCCTCTGCGCCCCCCTCTCCAGGCCTGCGACCCCGCTCCGGCCTCTGCGCCCGGGGGACGCGGGGACCCTAACCGCCCACGACGCGCGCCGCGGGCCCGGGTCCAGCCAAGGGGGCGGGGGTCCCCGAGGCCCACACTCCCATGGCCGCCCGAGGCCCAGCCCCCGCCGGGCCGGGGGTTCCGGCGCAGACCCCACCCCAGCCCGCGTACCTGGATGCGCGGCGCCCGGGGCCGGAGGCGGCTGCGCGGGGACGCGGGACGCGGGGACGGCGGGCGGGCGAGCGGGTCCCCGCACTGCAGCGGCGCCGCCCTCCGCCCGCCCCCGCGCCGCCGGTCCACCCCAGCAGGGGCTCCCCCTCCCCCGCCCATCACCCCCCCCCGCCCCCCCCCTGCCCCGCGCTCCCTCCCCGCCCGACACCCCCTGCCCCCTCCCCCCAATGGCCTCCCCCTCTGGGCCGGCGCCCCCTCCCTGCCCCCACCCTCCCCCACCTCCCACTCCCCGCCTGCCCCTCGACCCTCACTCCCACCCCACCCCCACCCCTGTCTTTCTCCCACATTCAGGCTTGCCCCCCATCTTCCCCGGGACCCCCCCCACCCAGCCTACCCCTGTTACCGCTCCCACTCTCCCCTTCCACCGCTCTCCCTGGCCTCCTCTTCGCTGCCCCGACCCCAAGCCCGCCATCCCCACCCTGGGCATTGGGGATGCACACTACAAGCCTGGACAGGCTTGGCGGTGGACGGACACTCACAGATCCACACGCAGCCGGGTCAGGACCACCGCCACTGCCCCTGCTCCCACCTCCTCACCCCCCTCCACCAGAGACCCTGCTAGTCGTCGTCGGGTCCCATACCACCCTGTGTCCCCCCGCCACCGGGTAGCCAGGGCCCCTCACTGCTCACTCCTGGGTGTCTCCTCTGCGCGTCTACACTGCACGTTCCAGACAGTGCGCCCATTCTCCAGGGTCTGTCTCCAACTCAGGGCCAGTGGGGTGGCCTTGGGCCCTGGCAGCTTTCAAGGAGAAGGAGCCGTGTCCTTTTCTTGGTTAAGGGCACCACCTTCACGCAGAGGCCCCAGCGGGAAACCACAGGGTCATCCTAAATTCCTTCCACCCTCCTCGGATGTCCAGGAGGTCACAGAGGCCACCTCCTGACCCACTAACCCAGGCCTGCAGAACAGGAGCTGTCCTCACCTTCCTGTCACCCCGTGTCGTGTGCCAGGGTGGGGGAACCCATCTCAGCAAGTTGGGGGACCCACCCTTTCCCCAGAGCCGTGGAAATAGCAGGAGGGGGTAGGGAGCCCAGGCCTTGAAGGAGAGGGCATCTGCTCCCTGTCCACACTCACCTGCCTGCACCCACCTATCCCTTCTCCCCTGTCGACACTCACCTGTCCACACACACCTGTGCCTGTTCCGTCTGCACTCACCTGTCCCTGCTCACCTGTCTGCACTCACCTGTCCATGCTCAGCTCTTCCACACTCACCTGTCCATGTTCAGCTCTTCCACACTCACCTGTCCATGCTCAGCTCTTCCACTCACCTGTCCATGCTCACCTGTCCACACACACCTGTGCCTGTTCCCTGTCTGCACTCACCTGTCCATGCTCACCTCTTCCACACTCACCTGTCCATGCTCACCTGTCCACACACACCTGTGCCTGTTCCCTGTCTGCACTCACCTGTCCATGCTCACCTCTTCCACACTCACCTGTCCATGCTCAGCTCTTCCACACTCACCTGTCCATGCTCACCTGTCCACACCCACCTGTGCCTGCTCACCTGTCCACTCTCCCTGTCCACAGAGGCACGCCACAGGATGGCTGGCCTTGCCCGGCATGTTCCCCAGCTGGCCTGGCGCTGGCCCAGCTTCCTCCTGCCAGCACAAAGGTAAAGGCACAGGCCGCACTCAGGTGCACAAACTAGGAGCTCCTTTCTGCTCCCCCAGCCCTCGGCCTCCTGGGGACCTGCCTCTCTGGCCTCGTCGAGGCCTCGGGCACACTCACATCTGTCCTGGTGGCACCTCTTGGCAGAGAGTCATTTTAGGGAATTCACGTCATCTCATCTGAATCTAAGCTTCATCCCACAATTTAAACCTCTGGCTGTCTCTCAGCTCAGGCCTGCTGGGAATGCTGTGGACCAACTTTCTCTCCTTCCTCCCCCTCCTCCTCCTCTCTCCTTCCTCCCCCTCCTCCTCTGGCTCCTCCAGGGTGGCCTGGCAAAAAGGATGACAAAAAAGGGCCAGGTGTCCCCTGATGGACTTTGGGGGAAGATGCTCCAGGGCCGGCTTTTGCTCACGGGACTCTCTTGGGGTGCTCTGGAGACCTCCTGCAGGGACCCCCACACACACTCTGTTCCCCAGGAAGGAGGGGGACCCCCCTGAGAGAGACCTTCTGATCCGGAGGTGCCCCCCACACATGCCTCTTTCTGCCGGATGTTTCACCCTGGCAGAGAGACCCCTGGACAGTGTCCTTGCAAGACAAGGACCTCCAGGTTCAGGGGCCTGGCAGTCAGTCAGCTGGGTGCACTGAGCCCACCAGATACTCGGCCGCTTGGCCTGTCTCGGCTGTGCCTTGTACTGAGCCCCTGTGCTCACACCTCTGAGGAGGCAGGTGGCCAGCCTCTCACCTTCAGGTTCTGCCAGGCCACTCAGGTACCCATTGCAGTGGCTCCCGCCTCCAGGGACCGCAGGCCAGCTCCCCTAAGAACTCCCTCCCCCAGCCCACTCCAGCAGCCGGGGTGGTGGTGGTGACACCGGGTCAGTCAGGGACGCTCATTGGACCATGGTAAGAACATCCCTCAGGGGGCAGCGGCATGAAGCCACATGGACCACATTGTTGCCATACACGGCTGGGTCACCACCCCACTGGACAGTGGGAAACAAATCCTGGTTTTATGGGGTGTCTGAGCAGCCACATCCTCCTGCTGAAAACATGTGCCTGGTGATGGGGTTACCCATTCAGAAGTCCCAGTAAATTGCGCTTGTCTGAGAACATCCCCTCCACCAGTGGGGAAGGCCCCACCCTATTCACTCAGCCCCAATACTTTCCTAAGCGAGGTGTTCACACTCCCCAGCTCTGGGGTCCTCCCTTCACCCTAGAACCTGGGTGCCCAGGCCTTGCAAAGATTCAGCTTCCAGGGGCCAGCTCTGTGGCCAAGTGGTTAAGCTCTCACGCTCCGCTTCAGCAGCCCAGGGTTCAACGGTTAGGATCCCGGGTGCGGACACGGCACCGCTTGGCAAGCCATGCTGTGGCAGGCGTCCCACGTATAAAGTGGAGGAAGATGGGCATGGATGTTAGCTCAGGGACAGTCTTCCCCAGCAAAAGAGGAGGATTGGCAGCAGTTAGCTCAGGGCTAATCTTCCTTAAAAAAAAAAAAGGAGTGCTTGTTGAATGACTATGTGAGAGTCCATCTGCCTAATTTCCATCTCCTCGACTGAGTTGAGAGCTCCAATAGGTGTCGGCAGTGTTTGTCTCCCTCATTCATTCTGCCTGGTGAGGAGACCGACACACATATCGTCTGGGGGGCAGAAAGGAAGATGATTCGTTCCACCCCGGCCCTGGAGATGCTGTGGAGCACTGTGGTCTGAGACGGCTCTGCGGGCAGACCTCCTGGTGGGACCTCGGCTCTCCCCTGCCCGGCGAGGGGCCTTGGGCAACGTGCAGAGGCCCCCAGCGGAGCTTGGAGGGGATGCCACTGGTGGTGACGGCAGCTGATGCTGACTGAGGACTCACTCCGGGACGACCACCGGGCTGGGAACTTTTCCTGGAAGACACCCTTAAATCCCTAATAAAGGTGGGTGTTGCCCTAACCCCAGCTTATGGTGAGGGACCGAGGGACGAGAGGCTGGGAGTGCAGCATGAAGGCGCCGTGAGAGCCCCGAGGCTGTGAACACTAATGATGACGGTATTCACAGCGAGAGGAGTCATCTCCTCGGGGAGGCATCTAATTCCTCTCGGGAGCAGACTCGGCAGGGGCCCTGGGGGGATGCAAGGACGAGGCCACGGGGGAGGAGAGAGGAAGACAGAGGAGGTGAGGGGAGAGCGGGAAGACGTCCGGAGGACGGGGTGGCTGCAGGGGGCTTCTGGGGACCCTCCAGTCGGCGAGAAGCCCCCACACAGGAGGCGGCAGGGGAACTTCAGAAGAACAGGGCTCTCTGCCATCCAGCTCCCGAATCGTCCCCGACGTGGGTCTGCGATGCGAAAGTTCACCCCAAAATGTCAGTGATGTCTGATGTGCGCGTTACTCCCCGGTGTGGTTTTGGGGGTGCAGGCAGACTCGACGAGCTGAGGATGGCCCCCCCAGGCGGCGGCCAGCAAGAAGCCGAGGCCTTGAGTGCCGCCACCACCCAGGGGCGCCTGGAAGCAGATGCTGCCGGCCGAGCCTCAGACCAGAACCCAGCCCCAGAGTCAGGGGACCCAAGGGAGCCGTGCCCGGACTCCTGACCCACGACCTGAGAGATAATGGGTGTGTGGTTTTAGTCACTAGCCTGTGGTACCTCACTACACAGCAACTGATAACCAGTCCACAGGGGAATCGAGGAGACGAGGCTCGGCTTACGTCTGGGCTGGTGCAAGATGAGAGAACAGCAGGAGGAGAGCCACAGACGGGACGTTCGTGTCCCTAAAATTCACAGTTAAACCCTGACCCCGGGGGATGGTGACTGGAGGCGGGCTCCGGGGTGATGCAGGCCGTGGGGTGGGGCCTCAGGATGGGAGGGGTGCCCTGATCGAGGAGGCCCCGCAGAGCTCCCCGCCCTCGGCCACGTGAGGACGCAGCGAGAAGACGGCCGTCTGTGAACCAGGCCCTCACCAGAACCCGACCTGCAGGCACCTCGATCCTGGACTTCCAGCCTCCAGACTGGGAGAAATAAGTGTCTGTCGTTTACAAGGCCCCCAGCCTGTGGTCTCTGGTACAGCAGCCCGAGGGGACAATGACGGGGGAAACAAGCAATATCGAGCGATGCCATATACGAAAATACATTATGAGGGTAAAAGAATTAAAATATTATGAATCTGGCATTCATAATATAATAATCTTAATAAATAAATAATATAATAATATTAATTAATAAATAACATTCTTAATTGTTAAGAATTAACATTAATTCGTAAGAATTAAGAAGTAAGAGGTCAGAACAAAGAGGCCAGAAATAATCCCAAATCCTTACCAGATTTTGTATATGATAAAGGTGTCACCATATATTAGTGGGGAAAATAATAACCAATAAATAGTTTGGAGAGAACTAAACAGCCTACCGGAAAAAAAATTAAGTGTTTTTTTTTGCTGACTATGTCACTCTTTATACAGATAAATCAAAGATTTCAGTATAAAAATTGACACTGTAAAATTAACAGAAGAAAAGTTGGGAAAATATTTTATAACCTTGGGGCAGAGGAGGCCATTCCAAACAAAATACAAAATCCAGGAGCCATGAATGTAAAAGTGGATATATTCGGCTAGCTACATAAAAATGAAATTTCTCCACATAAAAAAACCCTACGTTCAAAAGACAAACAAAACAAGAAATATACTTATAACACAGATCACAAAGGCGTAATTTCCTTAGCAGAAAGATACCCATCTTCACTCAAAATGAGAACAATGCAAATTAAAACTACACAGAGATACTATTTTTTACCCATCAGATGAGCAAAAATCCCAAAGTCTGATAACACTGTTTTAGCAAAGGTGTGGGAAATGGGTGGTCTCGTGCACTGCTGGTGGGAGTGCAAACTGACATGGCCTCTATTGAGACCAATTCAGGAAAAGTCTATCAAAAATCTAAATGCACAGATCATCTAGCAATTCCACTTTGCTAGATTTATCAATAACTTGATAACATGTATCAATACCTCAGAAAACTCTCCTTATTCATGTGTTGTTCTGCACACGGGCAAACGTGTTTGTGTGTCTGTATGCTTCCCCAAGTGCACAAAAATGCGTGAAACAAAAGATTGGGAGGAAAAACCTAAATGTCCATTGACAGGGGTCTGATGAAATATATTACAGCACATCCAGACAGTGGAATATTATGCAGCTGTTAAAAAGGATACAGGGGCTCTGTACGAACTAATATTAAACAATCTCCAAGGTATGTTCTTAAGTGAAAAAAAAAGGAAAACCAGGGTATGACCTTTGCACAGTATGCTACCATTTAAGAGGTGAAACTGCATATCAGTGTATGTTTATTCGGGCACAGAACATTTCCGGAAGGACACGGAAGACGCTCATGACAGAGATTCCCAGTGGGAGGGGGAAATGGATGTCTGAGGGAGAGGGAGAGAGGCAGACTTGCTTTACTATTTACTGTGTCCTTGGGTAGCTTTTGAATCTTATACCATTTGAATATATTATCTATTCAAATATAAGTGATTTTCCTTACATTAGTTTTTTTTTTTTAATCTTCCTGGAAAAGATGGGGAATTCAAAACATCCATTATTTTCACTCTCTCCCCAAACCATGCTAAAACCACAATAGGGGGGATTTTGTTTTTAAAGGCACAAACCCCCGAGGACTGGGGGAGCTGGAGAAGCCCTAACGAGGTTTTGGAAGCCTGAAAGGGGGCGGGGGAACAGTCACTGCCCTATTGGAACCAAGAAAGCTGAACTGAAAGCCGGCAGAGGGGCAGGTCAAGAAGGCCCAGTTCGTACCTCAGAATCCTGCAGAGCCCTAGGAATGGTTTACCAGATGCCCCGAAGTGGAGTCTATGGGGTGGAAGAGCTGTACCTACCTCCTGATCAACACGCTCCCCTGCGTTGTCACGTGGTGACCTCTTGCTCTCTCCCCACCTGGCTGTCAGCTCCGTGAGAAGGAGGAACCCCACGCACTTTGACCCATGGTTGTATTCCAGAGCCTAGCGGAGTGCGCAGGAAGGTCACACGTCCCGTAAATATCTGTTGGATGAAACGACGAGTAAACCGACCAAGTGTTCCTTGCTAAACTCTGTTTACTATTCTGATTTAAAGAACACGCTCAGTAACATATGTAACCGGGACATTGAACAAGGAACCTGGAATTACTTGGAAATCACTGTTTCCTCACCTCTCGAGGGATCTTTAAAATTTATTCGGTGGAAGAGGAAGGTCTTTCTCTAAATTCTACAGGTCTGTTAAGAGGTAAACCCAGTGTCAGCTCAGTCCTATGTGTCCAGTATTACAAAATAATTAAAATCTAACCTAGATTTAGAGTTAAAATGTTTCCGCTCCTCCAGCAAGGCCCTTCGGCTGGGGGCCGGCTGGGAAAGGAGAGAGATCCATTTTCTTTCCCTTTCTCACTCTCCCATCCACCCTCCCCAAGCTCGCTAATGGGTTCTGACGTCTCCCACATGGGGACAGCTTCTGGCAGCAGGAATTCTCAGGAAGTCACAGCCCGGGTCACTGTGTCAACATCAGGGACCTCAAGGAAATGGAATCCTAGAACATGTGGTGTTTTGTGACTGGCTTCTTTCACTTGGCATGTTTTTGAGATTCATCCACATTGCAGCAGGTGTCAGCGCTTCATTCCTTTTTAAGGCTGAATAATATTCCATTCGTATGGGCGGGCCACATTTCGTGTATCCATTCATCCCCTGACGGGCACTTGGGTTGTTTCCATCATTTGCCTATTGTGAATAATGCTGTTGTGAACACGGGTGTGCAAATACCTGTTTGAGTCCTTGCTTTCACTTCTTTCAGCTGTAGATCCAGACGTGGAATCATACGGGATCCTACGGGAATCCTATGTTTAATTTTTTGAGGAACGACTATACTGCTTTGCACGGTAGCTGCGCTATTTTACATTCCAATGAGCAATGCATAATTTCTCCACATCCTTGCAAATGCTTGTTAGTTTCTGGGGGGTTTTTTGTTTTTGTTTTTTTTTAAATAATAGCCATCCTAATGGGTGTGAGGTGGTTGCCAGGCCTCTCCAATGCCAGGCACAGGCGCAGCTCAGTGTCGTTTCTGCCACATTCCATTGACCAAAGCAAGTTACAAGGCCAGTTCAGATTCAACATCAGGGGAAAGACCCTGGACGTGTGCGAAGGGATGAGAAATGCTGGTGACCATCTTTGGAAAATAACTACATTTAATATATACTCTGTCGGGTATTTATAGATATGGCTTATAGAAATTCTTTTCTAGTCCTAATTTGCCAAAGTTTTTTTTTAAATCACAAATGGATGTCAGATTTCATCAAATGCTTTTTCTGCATCTACTGAGATGGTCACATGACTTTTCTCCGTTTTTGTTTTTTTTTTTTAATGTGGTAAATTACATTAATTTTTTTATGTTAAGCTAACTTGCATTCCTGGAATGAACTCAGTCTGGTCACAATGTAATATCCTTTTTGAAATCCCTTATTTCCAGATTTAATTTGTTAATATTTTGTTTAGGATTTCTGCATCTGTGTTCAGTGAAAGAAATTGCTGTACATTTCTTGATCCCAAAAGGTGACCAAGGTTATGACGCCGGCCTCAAGAAATGAGTCAGGAGATGCTCCCTCTTCCTGTTTTTGGAAAGAGGTTATTTAAGACTAGACTTATTTCCTTATTAAATGTTTTGAAGTGTTTGCTAGTAAAGCCATCTGTGCTTATAGCCTTTATCGTGGGAAGCTTTTCAATCATAAATTTAATTTCTTCAATAAGGATTAGTCTCCTCTGGTTTTCTATTTCCTCTTCTTTTTTTCTTAAAGCTATCCTTTTTGGTGAGGAAGATTGGCCCTGAGCTAACATCTGTTGCCAATCTTCCTCCATTTTTTTTTTTCTCCCCAGAGCCTCGGCACAGAGTTCTAGGTCATTCTAGTTCTTCTGTGTGGGACGCCACCTCCACATGGCTTGATGAGCGGTGCCACATCTACACCCAGGATCCGAACCAGTGAAATCCTGGGTTGCCAAAGCGGAATGCGAGAACTTAACCGCTCGGCCACGGGGCCGGCCCCTCTATTTTTTTCTTGCGGAAGTTTTAGTAAATTGTTTTCCCAAGACTTCTCTATTTCATGTACGTTTCTGACATAAAGTGGGTTTTGTTATTCTTTAGTATCTCTTTAATGTCTAGAACCTGAAGTGACAGGCCCTCTTACACCCTTTATGTTGGTATTTTGTGTTTTCTCAGTTTTTTTCCTTGTCCGTCTTGACAGAGGCTTATGAATTTTATGAGCCTTTTAAAAGAACAAACTCTTGGCTTTACTGACAGTCCCTATTGTACGCTTGTTTTTCTATTTCATTAATTTCTGTTCTAACCTCTATTATTCTCTTTCTTTTACCGTGTTTGGATTTGTCTGGATAATTTGCTATTGGGGGAAAAAAAAAAGCAACACTCTTTACCCAACATAGGCAACTAGAAGCCACGATAAAGGTGTTTGTGGAATTAAAGAAAAACATCTGATATCAATTTGACTCTTGTCCCTTTGAAGGCTAACTGTTCTTGTCAGACAGTCTTCCGGACTTTTCTGCTGGTTTTTGATAGCCTTAAATTTCACCAGCTGCTGGTGTGGCTCTTTGGCACTCCATGAATCCTTCAATCTAAGGTCTCTCATTTTTCTCTAACTCTGGAAAACTCGTCCCCATCATCCTCCCAAACATCTCCTACTCTCCGTCTGCATCATTCCTTTTTCTGGGACATCTGTGAACCAGATATGAGCATTTCTGCTCCTATCACCCACATCTCTTACTGTTCCTTTTATATAGCTTCTTGTTCCTGTTTCACACTGTGCTCAGATAAAGACCTTTCTCTCTTTTATAGGCATTTCACTTATTTTAATGAGTTCGTCCTTCCATTCTCCTGCCCCGGCTTCTGTAACAGTTTATTTCTATTCAGTCTGGCAGTGTTTGGGGAAAGTGGGCAGGTCAGATCCTGTCTAAATACTGACGTGGCCACCACCACAACCAAGATATTAAGTACCATCAGTATACAAGGCTCCCTCATTTGCCTCCTCGATAGTCACACCCAGCGTCACCCCAAACCCCTGACGACCACTAACCTCTTCTCCATCTCTGTAATTACGTCCTTTCACGGATGTTATGTAAATGGAATCACGCTATAGGTATCCTTTTATGATTCTCTTTTTTTGCTCAGCACAATCCCCTAGAGATTCATCCAAGTGGGTGCATATATCAGTAGTTGATTCCCTTTTACTTCTGGGTAGAACTGTGTTAATTTCCCCCGTTTAAAGATCCTCCTGTTGTCTGTTACTGATTTCTAGTCTGATCCCGTTGTCAGCAGAGAACATGCTCTATATGATTTCAATTCTTTTGTATTCGTTGAGGTTTGCTTTATGGCTGAGAATATGGGCTATCTTGGAATATGTTCAATGGGCACTCGAAAAGAACGTACATTCTGCTGCTGTTGGGGGCAGTGTTCCATAAAGGTCTATTCACCCTGCCGGTGGACGGCAGTGTTCTGCATCGTGTCTGATCGTCTACATTTCTACCAACTGCTGAGACTGGGCACTGAAGTCCTCCTCTTTATGTGCTGCTCTTTCTCCTTTCAGCTCCACCAGTTTTTGCCTTACATATTTTGAAGGTCTGTTGGCTGGTGCATACACATCTGAGATCACTTCATCTTCCTGGTCAATTGATCTTTTTATCATTGTGTAATGTCCCTCTTGCCCCAGAGAAATGTCCCACGTTCTGAAGTCTACTTTGGCTGATATTAATATAGTCACTCTGTTTTTTTTAACATTAATGTTTACGTGATATATCTTTTTTCATCCTTTTTTGTTTTGTTTTATTTTTTAAAGATTGGCACCTGAGCTGACAACTGTTGCCAATCTTTTTTTTTTTTTCTGCTTTTTCTCCTCAAATCCCCCCAGTACATAGTTGTATATTTCAGTTGTGGGTCCTTCTAGTTGTGGCATGTGGGACGCCGCCTCAGCGTGGTCTGACGAGTGGCGCCATGTCTGCACCCAGGATCCGAACCAGCAAAACCCTGGGCCGCCACAGCAGAGCGTGCGAACTTCACCGCTCGGCCACGGGGCCAACCCCATCCTTTTATTTTCAATCTACCTATGTCACTAAATTCAAAGTGAGCTTCAGCATACAGTAAACAACATATAGTTGGGTCGTGGTTTTTATATTCATTCTGTCAATCTCCGTCTTCTAACTGGTGTGTTAGGCCATTTACATTTAAAGTAATTATTCATATGTTAGGCCTTAAGTCTGCCATTTTATTATCTGTGTTTTCTCCCTCTCTCGTGCCTTACCGTGGGATACTTGAACATTTTTTAGAATTCCACTTTATCATGCTTTTGAGTACATCACTATGTTTAGTTTTCTTAGACGCTGCTCTAGACGTCACCATATACATATGAAATGACGTTTGACATCAAGTGCCGTGTAGAAACCTCACTCCCATCTACATCTCTCTACGCTTCTCACTTTTCAAACATCATTCTCACAAATATTTCCTCCACATCCACTGAGCACCGTATCAGTGTTTTACGTTTTGTTCCAACCATCAGATATGATTAAAGAAACTCATGAGGTGAAAGATGGTCGGTTAGGGTTTCTTCTATTTTTACCCACTCCGTTGCTCTTAACTTTCTGAAGGTCCCCACCTTCGTCTGTCACAATTTTCTTTCTGTTCGCAGAGCATCCTTTAGCTCACTCAAGGGTCAGTCAGTCTGTTCGCAACAAATTCCACGATCCTGCCTTCATCTGAGACTATCTTTATTCCTCCTTCCACTCCTAAAGGCTAGTTTTGCTACTAGAGGATTCACAGTTGATGGTTCTTTTCTTTCAACACTTGAAAAACGGATTTCTTCCTTCTGGCCTCTGTGATTTCGGATGAGAAATGTGCCGTCGTTGACACTGGCCTTCCTTTCTAGGCAGTGTGTCACTTTGCTCTGGCTGTTTTCAGTATTTTTTCCTCTGTCTTGAGTTTCCAGACATCTACTTACGTGTCTTGGTGTTTATGTCCAGAGGGCTTACCCTAGCCAGGGCTCCTCAGCTTCTTGTATCTGTGGGCTATGCCTTTCACCAAATTTGGGAAGTTCTCAGCCATTATTTCTTCAAATACCTTTCCAGCCCGTTCTTCCTCCTCTTGCCCCAGGACTCTGGCGATACAAACTATTGTCCTGCAGATCTCTGGGGCTCTGTTCACTTTTTTTCCAGTCTGTTTTCTCTTTCTTGCTTTGCGTAAGTCCTACTGCTCTAAGTTCCCTGACTCTAACCTGTCACCCCCACTCCGCTCTTGTGTCCATGCAGCGAGGTGCCTGGTGATCACTGTGTCCAGGGATGGACACGACATTGTTTTGGTTACTGTACTTTTCAGTTCTGTAATTCCCACTTCGTTCTTTTTATAATTTCTATTTCTTTACTAGGAGTTCCTACTCTCCCATTTGTTTCAAAAGAATTCATATTTTTTTGAAGTACATTTATGACTGCTTTAAAATCCTTGTCAGATAATTCCAAATCTGGTTCATCTTTGCACTCATATGAGTTGTCTTTTCATTTCAGTAGTGGTATTCCTGGTTCTTGGTATGACAAATGATTTTTTTTTAATGTATCCTGGACATTTTGGCTGTTATGTTAAGAAACTCCTGATTTTACCTAAACTTTCTGTTTTAGCAGGAAGTTGCCCTGTTTAGGTTTAGTGTGTAGATTTCAGCCAACTTCTGTGGTCTGTGGTTCCAACGACAGTTTTATTTTTGCAGCCCTTGCAATGCTCTCCTGGTCTGCTTTATTAATCTGACACTGCTGTTGCTCAGTCCTTGCTGGTGAGGTCTACAGGGTTGGAAGCACTTCCCCAGGCAGCCTGATGTTGCTGCTACTGCTGCAGGAAGAGCCAGGCAGCGCCTGGTGGTCCTCGGTATCCTTGTGCCACCAGGTGGAAAGCTGGAAGAAGTCAGGCCCCACCGACACCAGCCCTGTAGTGGGTGCTGCCCCCCAGCACCACAGTCGCATAGCCAGGGTCAGGTGGGCTGCAGACGCTTTGACCGTGATGCCACAGGCAGACTGTGGGGTGGGGTGTGGCTCCCCACCCAGGTCTCAGCCAGGCCTTCCCTTTAACCAGTTCTTCAACCAGAGCGAGGAGCATTTCCTGGCAGTTTTTTTTTTTGCCTAGGCGATGCTTTGCCTTTGTTAAATGAGCATTTGTTACGGAGAGCCCCAGGGTGTCTGACAGCTCAACAAAGACCCCAAGGGAAAGTGGAATGTGATGCTCCTCCTCAAATGCTGGCACCTGTGGCCATGCTGCCCCTCCCTCTGCAACCCTTTCGTGACCTCCCCTCGCCCCCTCGTGAACTATCACTGACCCTCCCTATGTCACCCCTGCTATCACTCCTCGTGGAACCCTGTGCTGTCCATTCCCGAGCACCATGGCAATGACACACTTATTACTGTGATCATTCACTTCCCAGTTCTATCTCCTGTCACCAGACTTAGAGCTGTGACAGTAGGCACACGCAGCATTTCTATGTCACGGTGTCCCTGGTGCCTCAGGCAGAGCGGGCCCAACACATGCCTGTTGGAGGAGAGAGCGGTGAGGGGTTACCGAACACCACCTAAAGACATTCAAGAGACACGACCGTGGCATATTAACACCACCGCTTTACCAAACAAACGTCAACCACAAAAAAGAGCGGTCAAGTTGGAAAGAAAGTTCAGTCCTTAGAATCGAGGACGTTTTGATCTTTGGAAACTTGTTCAGGGCACTGTCACAGAGGGGTGGGCTGGCCAGCCAGATCTGGGGACCCCCGGCTGCGGTGGGCTCCCCCCTGCGCCCCAACCCTCCTCCAGGTGGTGCAGCCGAGCCGACGTCCAGCTCCCCCAGACGGCTGCGAGGCGCGGGCACCGGGGACCCTCGGCCTCAGCACCTCGCGTGTCTCCCCGATGGCAGCCTGGGACCACTCGCGCCCAGAGCCCAGCCCGGAGAGAGCCTCGAGGGGGTCTGGCCGCAGGACCCACCGGAGTCCGTGCTGGAGCCGCCCCCACCACCTGGGGGACGCGAGGCCGCGCAGGGAGGCTCCTCGTGCGTCCGAGGGCGCCGCGCCCCACTCATGCCGTGATCCCGCAGCGACCTGGGCTGGAGCGGGGCAGCCTCCCCGCAAGGGGGGGCGCTGCGAGCCGGGCCCCGCCCCACTTCCCTGGAGCACGCGGGTCCAGTCCGTGCACCTGCCGGGCCACCGCACGTGGAGCCCGGCAGGCACATAGCGCAGGCGCAGAACGAGCGCTGTGCTTCCGGCCCACGAGCTCAGGCCGGAAGTCCTCGAGCCGCACCACGGGCCCCGCCCCTCCGCTCCCCAAGTCCCCGGCCCAGGCGCTTCCCGGCCCTCCACTGCTCCCCCGGACCCTGGGGCCCCCAGGCCCCTCCCCCGGCCCCCAGATCTTCCCAGGGCCCTGGCCCCCAGCCTCTGCCCCCGCCGTGTCCTGTCCGCGCCCCGAGCTGTCAATAAAGTTGCGTTCGGAGCCGACCGGAAGGCGGGCCGTAATCCGCGCCGCGGCCGTCGTAAAAGTGCCGGTTTCCCCTGGCTACGGGCAACGCGAGGAAGATGGCGGCGCTGGTGGCGGCGGAGGCCGCGGCGCCCCCGGGCCCGGCCGAAGCGGCTGAGGCGGCGGAGCTGAGCCGCGCCCTGAGCCGTCTGCTGCCCGGGCTGGAGGCCGACAGCAAGCTGGGCCGGCGGCGCGCGCTCGAGGCGCTGCAGCACCTGCTGGAGGCTCGGCCCGAGGCGCCCGCCGCCGACCCCGCCGCCGCGGCCGCCGCCTTCCAGGGCCCGTGGGCGCGCCTGCTGCTGCCGCGCCTGCTGCGCTGCCTGGCCGACCCGGCCGAGGGCTGCCGCGCGCTGGCCGCGCACCTGCTGGGCCTGGGCCTGCGCCGCGCCGCGCGCCCCCGCGACGCCCTTCCGCGCCTGCTGCCCGCGCTGGCCGCGCGCCTGGCCGGCCCCGAGCCCGCGCGCCGCCCGCCCGAGGCCTGCGAGGAGCTGCGCCTGGCGCTCGTGCAGCTGCTCGGCCTGGCCGTGAGCCTGGGCGGCGCCGCGCTCGCGCCCTACCTGGACGACGCGGTGCGCGTGCTGCGCTGCACGCTGCTCGACCCCTTCGCCGCCGTGCGCCGCGAGAGCTGCGAGTGCGCCGCCCGCCTGGCGCGCGCCACCCCAGGTGCCCGCCCCGCCCCCCTTCTCCCCCCGCCCCCCAACCTCGGACCGGCCCTGAGCCGGTGGTCTCCTCCTGGACCCCCTCGCGCACTCCACGCTCGATGCCCGCCTAGCCCGCATCTCCCCACCCCCTGCCTCGGGCCGGCCCTGAGCGGGTGGTCCCCTTCTGGACCCCCTCTCACGCGCCACCGCAGGTGTCCCCCTCCTCACCCCCTGCCTCGGACCGCCCCTGCCCCTCCCTGAGCTGGTGGTCCCCTCCTGGACCCCCGCAGCCGCCCTGCTCTTTTCCATCCGGTGTTTCTCAAAATGCAGACTTCCGGAGACCACCCATGAAATTGTGTTCAAGCGTGTCTGGGATGGGGTGCGTTCTGATAGCTGCCTCTCGCGGGGGGGTGGGGGGGGGCTGTAATCCGGGTGCCTAAGGGAACACAGTGAGAAACACCACTCCCATCTTTCACCACTTTTCGTCCCCGTTTCTCACGGAGTCCACCTGTCTTCTCTGTGTGGCTCGGACTGCTGTCCTGAAGGGAGGCAGGTTGCTTCTCTTTTGCTGCCTTTTAATCCATTCTCCATTGCTTTAAAAACCTAGTCTTAACAGGATGTTCCGTTTTCCTAAGTAGCCGGTTCTGCAGGGTCTTGCCCCAGTTTCCTGTCCTTGCTGTCTCAGGCTGGGACGTGGGATGGTAGGGGACACCTTCTTAGTCCTTTTGGGAGGGCTTCCAGGAGGAGGGAGCGTTTAAGCGGAGGATCAGAGGTCGAGAGGGAGCCAGCCTCGAGGAATAAGCTTGGCGGTGAGGAGCAAGAGGGAGGCCAGGGTGGCTGGAGGGAAGGAGGGGTGAGGCCGGGGGCCGATGGATTTGAATTCAGTGTTAAGTGCAATAGGGGAGCCAGTGGAGGGTGCGGACAAGGAGTGTGATAGACTCCGGTTCTGGTTTATGAAAGGCGAGTCTGTGCTTGTGGGGAATGGACTACCGAGGTGGCAGCAAAGGAGATGAGGCAGCCAGTCGGGGGCCATAATCCATGTTTAGGTGTTGGCTTGGACTTGAGTGGGGCAGTCTGCTACAAGGGATGGAGGAAAAGGGACCGGATGCGAGATGCACTGCAGCCCCTGCCTTCCAGCCTTGGCCTGTTCCCTCACTAGAGTCTAAGTTCCGGAAGGGCGGGACCATGCCTCTTGGTACTCAGGGCACACAGCTCAGTGCCGGCCTGCAGTAGTGCTTACTGACTGTTGAGTGAAGTGCTGTTCCTCCTGCTTGAAGCAGCTCCCCACCTCAACCCTCCTCCCCTGCACCAGCGCTGCTGTGCGAGGCGCCTCCCTCCCTTCCCTCGCCCGAGGCTGGACTAGACCAGCTCCTGCCTGCATGTGAGGACCTGCCTGGGGGTTAAAGAGCTCACCTGGAGTCTCTGAAATAGCAGTCTCTGGGTCTCAGCGGCAGCATTGAGGCCAGAACTCCAAAACCAGAGCGTCAGCCTGGCTCTCCCTCGGGACCTTACCCATAGGAAGTGGCGTGGCGTCGCCTGGAGCGGTGCTGGTCCGGCTCCCTGCGCTAGTGCTGGGTGTCTGGCTCTGGGCGCCGCTGGGTGTGGAGACACAGCGTCCTTGGGCTCGGTTTTTCCTTTGGCCAGCGTCCCTCTCAGGCAGCAGCCCCAGGGCTCCCCTCACAGCGCCCATCTTCAGCTGAGGTGGGGCCAAGCCCCAGCCTTTTCCCTCTGGTTCCCCAAGCCTGTGGGTCATAGAGGTAATCTTTGGGTCACACACTTCTTGTGCTTCTCCTGGGGCCGGAGGTGCAGAGCTGTGCCTGGCAGGGCTGAGCCGTGTGCCGGCTTACAGCAGGGACCCGCTGGAAGGGGAAGGAAGGTCCGAGGCGCAGCGGCCTGTGCCGGGAGCCCGTGGGGTTGGGCGTGGCTGAGGCTCGTGGGCAGCAGCCCGGGTAACTGGTGGCCTCCCCTGTCTGCAGACCACTTCCACATGCAGTCGGAGTCTTTGATCAGCCCGCTGATGCAGACCATCTCCCACCAGCACTGGAAGGTGCGTGTGGCCGTCATCGAGGCCACGGGCACGGTGATCCAGTTCGGCAGCGGGAAGTCGGTGGACGACGTGCTTCCGCACTTTGCTCAGCGGCTCTTTGATGACGTCCCCCAGGTAAGGGGAGTTTCTCCTCCGGGCGGTCTCCCCTCCAGCAGAGGCATGCCCCATGCAGTTTCTACTCACTCGCCCCCTTTTCCTTTTTATAAAGATATTACATGTTACCGCAAACGTCCTTTCATCGCTCCCAGTCGTTGGGCGCTCCTACTTCACGTCTTTGAGAAGCTGACGGAGAGCTGAATTGTCTTAATGTATTTGTTGTTCTTAGTTCCAAGAATGTGGAAGGGGACTATTTCCTCTTAGGAACAATGTCTAAACTGCGTGTCCTCCACGGTTGGCAGAGGCGTCTTCGCTGTGCCCATCCATCAGGCAGATTTAGCTGAAAAGCCACAGTGGTTCATGACCCAAACCGCAGAGGACAGGTTGGAGGGTAACTCGTTCTGCTGGGCTTTGGGGCCCGCTGAGAGGTGGACGGACAGACAGATGGGGATCAGAGTACTGGGGTTTTTGTTGGCAGAAGTCAGCTCGGGGGGCATGTTGTGGGTCTGAGGCCACAGTTGGCTTATAAACCTTGGCCAGCCCCAACTGCCGGGAGCAGGGCCGAGGCCCCTGAGGGCAAGCGTTCTCCCAAAGGGTGCGGATCACAAGGGGGAGCTCGTGCTCATGGTCACACAGGGTGAGAGGCCCAGTGGGTGCTGGCAGGAGTCATCCAGAGCGGTGAGAAAGGGCCCCTGCCTCGGCCACCTCCGGCTGCTTCACGTCCCGCTGGCCGTAAAGCACACCAATGAGAGGTGGCGTGGCCTGCTCGCCTGTCGTGGGAACGTTAGCCACTCGCATGCAGCACTGTGCGCCAGCCTCTCCCATGTCTCATCCACGCACCGTCTTCATTAGTTCTCACAGAAACCCCTCCTGTCTGCTTCACTTCCCCGGGGGTTTGGAGGCTGTGTAATCCAGCTGGCGCTTGTCCCTGGCCCAGGTCTCGTGACATCGGGGACCACTCTCCTGCCTCCCAGCCACAGGCACACTGGGTTTCCTTCCCAGGCACTTTGTCCGTTTTGTTTTCTTTTTTTAAACGGCTTTATTGAGCTCCAATTCACATCCCATACAATTCACCCATGAATGGTATGTTTGTTGTGTTGAAACATTGACGTGTTCTGTGTTTTTGATATGTTACGTTATTAATTTTTAAGTTTTCTTGTAAAATATATTTAATATTAAGTTTGCCATTTTAGCCATTTTAAGTATACAGTTCGGTGGCATTAAGAACATTCACGAGGTTGTGCAAACATCACTACAGTCCAAAACATTTTTTTGGTTTTTTTTGTTTGTTTGTTTGTTTTTAAAGATTTTTTTTTTTCCGTTTTCTCCCCAAAGCCCCCCGGTACATAGTTGTGTATTCTTCGTTGTGGGTTCTTCTAGTTGTGGCATGTGGGACGCTGCCTCAGCGTGGTCTGATGAGCAGTGCCATGTCCGCGCCCAGGATTCGAACCAACGAAACACTGGGCCGCCTGCAGCAGAGGGCGCGAACTTAACCACTCGGCCATGGGGCCAGCCCCCAGTCCAAAACATTTTTTATCATCCCAAACAAACTCTGTAGTCATTAAGCCGGAAATCCCATCCCCCCTCCCCAGCCTCTGGTCACCTCTGATCTTGCCGTCCCTCGGAACTGGTGTGTTCGGGACGGCTCACATAAGTGCAATCAACACGTGATCTGCTTCGACTGGCCCCGTTCGAGGTTCATGGTTGTGGCGTGTGTTGGTGCTTCATTGCTTTTTATGGCTTGCTAATGTCCGTCATGTGGATGGACCACGTGGTGTTTAGCCGTCACCCATCGATGGACATTGGGGCTGTTTCCACCTTTGGCTCTTGTGAGCGGAGCTGCTGTGAACACGGCTGTTCAGTGTCTCTTTGGGTTCCTGCTTCACTTCTCCTGGGCATGGACCGAGGAGTGGACTCGCTGGGTCCCGCGGTAACTCCAGGTCCGGCTTATTGAGGAACCACCAGTGTCGCCCACGGCAGCTGCACCGTTTTGCATTCCCACCAGCAGTGCACAAGGGTCCCGATTTCTCTGCATTCTTACAACACTTGTTATGCTGTTTTTTGTTTGTTTGTTTATAGCCATCCTGGTGGGTGTGAGGGTGCCTCCTGCGGCTTGGTTTGCATTTCCCTGACCATTGGTGACGTTGGGCACCTTTTGTGTGCTTGTTGCCAGTTAGTTCTTTTGTGAGCTGTAACATTCACCTCGTGTGACTCAGATACAGTTCTGCTGGGTTAGCACGGTGGGCAGGCAGCCTGGGAGGGTCGAGATGCCTTCTCTGATCACACGGAGAGGCTAGAGGTTCTCACCGCTTGTCACGGCTTCCCCCACTCCGTCCGACCTGAGCGGGCAGGGGGCGAGAGGAGCGGACTGGCTGCGCTGCGGGATGATGGCAGCCTCTCAGCGGGAGGCAGGCTTCCCGGAGCGGATGGTGTGAAGGCGGCAGAAGAGAGTCGCTCTGGGCTTTAGGGGCCGGGACAGGTGAGGACATACCAGGGCCGGGGTGACACAGCCCCTGCCCGGATGTCACTTCAGCTCTGCTGCCCGGGCTTCACCCTCAGGCTGTGTCCCTGAGGCGCAGCAAGGCTGCCAGTGGAGCGCACGCAGAGACGGAGGGAACCTTCCCCACGTGGAGCCTGAGTCTGTCCGCTCATCTCGTGGGGCCAGCTGGAGTGGAGTGACCGTGGGCACCGCTGACCCCTCCTGGAGCTGGGGTGGGGGAGCACAGCAGAATTGGGCTCTGCCAAGGGCGGAGGAGGGGGCAGGGCGCTAGGTGGGCACCAGCACTGCCCTGCACCTGCAACAGGTGCTGTTGCCGCTCCCCAGAGACCCGACTGCGAGGGCAGCTCCAGGAGCGAGGCCCCGCGTGGACGCCAGGGGAGAGCAGCAGCGCTGACCAGGGCGCTGTCTCAGCTTCTTCCAGCTGGAGGCAGAGCAGAAAAGGATGTGGCTTCCTTGTCACAGATCAGGTGCTTTTCCTCAAAACACTGTAATAACTATGTGTCGACAGCTGTCTATAAACAGTAAACTGCGTATGGATCGATAGCTGTCTAAATACTGTAACTATCGGCAGTTGTCTGTGTAGTGTAATCGTGTATCCATGGCTCTCGGGAAACACTGTGTTGATAACTCTGCAAACAGCTAAGTGTGAGAAAGCCGGCATCCCATTGTTGGCCTAACTGGACGTTCGGTCCCCTGACTCGAGCATCCTAAGGTTTGCGTCCCTGCAGACGAGGAGGAAGTCGTGGGAGGACTGCTGCCATTGGGGCATCACGGGCAACGTTCTGTGTTTTGTTTGCTGACAGACTTTCCCAAAACTTCGGTCTGTGACTCCTTTTTGTTATTTAATATTCCAAAACAAGTGCTTTGCATTACTGAAACTATTTTCACTTTTATTTTTTCCCAGTGGGGTTTGATTTGCTCCCATACAGTTCCCAGGGCTGACTGAGGTGGGATTTCAAATCTGGCTTCTCAGTTGCCCGCCAGCTTTCACGCTGGCTTGGGGTCTCGTTAACGGGGTCACCAGGGTCCCTTACAGTGAGTTGAAGGGGACATGATCGTGCTGTGCTTTTTGCTTGGATGTCAGCTCTGGGCCTCAGCATCCTGAGCTCACTTTGACGTCAGCCAGCACTTCGCAGGTGCTGGGTCTCCTGCAGACTTCGGCCCCCAGGACTTCGCAGGCATCCTGTGGGCGGCCCAGGCCGCGAGGGATCCTGCCCACAGTCTGGGCGTGAGGTCCTCACAGCCTTGGAACATTTAGAAAACTCTCAGCAACTGCCGGGCGCCCAGCCTGCTGGACTGAATCCTGGGTCGTTGAGCTCCATCGTCAGGGGCTGCCTGGAATCAGCCTGTTCTTAGTGCTTTACCTGAAGTGACCCCTTTGGTCCGTGCAGCCCCCTGTGGGCGGGAGACTGTGAGGATCTCTGTCTTACCAGCGAGGAACAGGGCACAGAGAGGTTCCAAGCTCACCCAGGTGGCACAGCCAGCTCAGTACGGGCAGTCCAGCTCCCAGAATTCTCTCTCTGGTGCTTCCTCACCACCAGCCTCCAGGACATGTCTGAGGACGTGGAAAGGCGGGTGTCCCAGGGCCACAGGGGCTGACCTTGCTTCCTCTGGGCCAGAAAGGCCCACACGTCTGGCTGCGTGCAGTGTCCAGGTGAAAGGGCGCCAGGCTCAGGTTAGGTCGTCATCCGTAAAGAGTGGTGTGTGTCCATCTCGGCCCTTGGTTGCCCTGGGGTCCCCCTCACTTCAGGAACTCGCTGCGTGTTGCTGGTCTCTGACTGTGGGCGAGGAGGTTTCAGTTAGAAGGTTGGTCCCGTGTGCTGTGTGTGGTGCGGATGTGGCTCCGACCCGCTGCTCAAGCTCCTGGGACGTGACCTGCGTGGGCGTCCCGTGGGAGCCGCCGGCAGGGCCGGGTTCAGCGGGTTGCAGCTCACCTGGCCTCACCTGCCCCACTGCTGGTGGCCCCGTGGGCGTTCGGCTCAGGCCCTGAGGCCTTTCTGAGCACCTGCCCTCTGCCAGCACCTGATGGAGCGCAGGAAGGAGAGGTGCTGCCCCAGTCATTGCCCGGGACCTGGTGGGATCAGTGCCAGGCACCTCCCAGCTGCTCAGGAGCGATGCATGGTGGCGTGGAGGGGTGGAGGGGCGGGCGGGTGGAAGGGTGCAGGGCGGGGGGGGAAGTGTGAATGTGTGCTCTGCCTGAGTGGGTGACAGGGGAGTCCTAAGGTGAGGAATGAGGGAGGATGCTCACCACATTCCAGAAAGCCCATGGGATGCAGATTCCTGAACCCAAGAGCCCTTAGGGCGGGACCCTGCCAGAATGAACTGGCGCAGGCTTCCAACTCCCATCCTACGGGTGGGGCCTGTTGCTGCTCCTCTCCCCTCCCCCACCCTCCTCTCCCCTCCCCCACCCTCCTTTCCCCTCCCCTCTCTTCCCCTCTCTGCTCCCTTTCTCTCCTCTCCCCTCCCCTCCTCTTACCTCCTCTCCTTTTCTCTTTCTCCCACCTGAATCCAAATGAGGGAAAAGTAACAACAGAAATTTACCATGGACGTTCATATCCACCTCACAGACTTCATAAAGGTTATGCTGAAATTTTTCAGATTTTAAAACAAGAATGTCCCAGATTCAGTGGAAGCCCTCTTCCTCTTTAATTGGATTGAATACTATATCTTTCAAGCAACATCTGATGTTATTAAAATATTTTGTTGATGCCATTAAAAGCTTTTTATGCTGAAGAGAGGAGTTTATTAAAATGACATAAAATCCTTAAAATCCGAGGCCTTCGGTCGGCGTGGTGGACACAGAGGGAGTGCTCCTAAGTGTTTTGCTTGAGACGGTCATTCGAAATCAAGGGCTGGGTAGAAAGATCTTTCCCCTGCCTCCCCCAGCCCCCAAATCTGAGGTCTGAAATGTTCGCGCTTGAGGGGTGAATTGGAAAGAGATGACTTCCCCCCGCCCGTGCCTGGGAGCTGCCTTCCGTTCTCTGTGGAACGTGACGAGGAGCGTCGTCAGTTGATAACACATGCTTAGCAGCTGACGGCAGGACATAGCACTAAATATCCTCGTTATGAAGAACTGGGCACGTTAATTTTCCTTGACTTAAGAACTTAAAGTGGGGGGCCAGCCCCGTGGCCGAGTGGTTAAGTTCGCACGCTCCGCTCCTGCACCCAGGGTTTCACCGGTTTGGATCCTGGGCGCAGACTTGGCACCGCTCATCAGGCCACGCTGAGGCGGCGTCCCACGTGCCACAACCAGAGGCACCAACAACTGGAACCTACAGCTATGTATGGGGGGCTTTGGGGAGGAGAACAAGAAAAAAAAGAAGATTGGCAACAGATGTTAGCTCAGGCGCCAGTAAAAAAAAACACGCAGTGGGAACTTGCGAGTTAACGGAGAACGGAAGACTGTCTTGTTTTCTCAGCGCTGTTTCGCATGCACAGTTTCTCCCTTTGGCTTTGCGCAGAGTCCCAGATGGTGCCGCGCGCGGTTCTCCAGCCAACACCCGCCATCCGCAGCCCTGCCTCGGGAGAAGAATGATTCTCCCTCGGCTCATTCGGCTTTTTTTTTTAATTGACATATTTCCCGCTTAGTCAGACTGTTACTTGGCAGCTCCGTTCCGCGCTGTTTTCTGAGCTGGGAGCAGAGGGCGATGTGTCTCACGTTCCTGCCGACACCAGCTCCAGGCCGACGGGCGGGAGCGGGCCGGCTGCCCCGGCGATGCTCGCTCAGGAGGTGGGAAGCTGAAGGCTCCTGCCTACAAGAGACGTGTCATCTTTGGGGACGTTGCAGTGACTGTCCTGGGCGTGGGGCCTGCAGGTGCCCAACACGGGGCAGGACGGCGAGAGGAGCTGCAGCCAGCTGGATGGGCTCCCACAGCCCGTGGCCTCTGGTGCTGGGGCCCAGGCGCGGCCGGGTCACAGAGCTCTGGAGCGGGTCCTCCTGATGCCTGCCTGTCACCCTGCAGGGCCCTGCTCGCTCGCTCGGCGGTTCTGGCGCTGGCTGGTTGCAGTTGGGATGTTTTTAGCGCGTAGATTTGCCCAAGAGGGACGTTCGCTTGTGCTTTGGTCGTTGATGCCATGCTCGCGTCAGTTAATAAGAACGACCCCATTTGCCTCATGTTGTGCCTCTTTGTTTTCAGAGGGTTTAACCCTCGCAGGGGTTGCAAGGCAGCACGGAGCCCGGCGCCTGCACGCCTCTCGCGGGCGGGGTGGGGGTGGAGGCCCGGGACTGCTGAGCTCGTGCCAGGGGCTCCGCGTCAGGCTCCGTGCAGGTGTTCTCCTTTCTCGTGAGGGGCCGGTGACACGGGTCCTGTCGTCCTCTCTCATTTTCCACAAAGAGGATGAGCTTGAGGGAGGAGAATGCACTTCGTCCGTTCATGTGCCCTGCTGGAGCCGGGGCTCAGCCCACCACAGGCAGTGACAGGCCTTCGGCGGGCGCTGCTGGGGCCCAGCCCCTGACCTGGGCTGCCTGCAGTGCTGGCTGCTGATGGCCACAGCGGGTGGAGCCTCTCCACCCCGAGTGCCTGCCGTAGGGTCCCCTCCCAGCTGCACCTGGCAGACGCCACAGCCAGTGGGCCCCTTGCTGGGGAGTGCCGTGGTGCCGCCCCACGGCAGGGCTCCTCTGGAGGCTCGGCCCGGCTGCTGCCCTCCCAGGTCACTTAGGGAGCCTGGCTGCCTGGTGCAGGGAGCTCAACCTCGGGCACCAGGTGTGTTTCGGGCCATTTCCTCTGTGGCAGGTGAGGTGGGTGGAGCGTGCCATCACCTGGTCAGACAGCCCGCAGCGGAGCGGGCACCCCGCCAGCCCCTGGGAGTCCCTGGGGCTCCAGGGCCAGAGGCCTGGGTGCTGTGACCTTGCAGGGCACACTTCCTAGCCACTGGCCAGCAGCTCGTGGAAACGCCCATGGTGACACAGCGCCCGTGGAGCCCGGCAGGGAGGCTCCCGCGCGTGAGCCCTGCTTCGGCTGACAGAGGGTCGGGCTGGAGCCACGAGGACTGGCTTGGGCAACAAGACACAGCGGCCCCGACGTGTCCTCACCAGGCCTGAGCCTCAGTGCAGGGCTGCCAGAGCACCGGGGCCCCAAGCCCGCGTCTGCCCCTGGACGGTGTCCCCATGGTGGCCCTGCTGCTCCGCGTGTCCCCTTGGCGTTTCTCTGCCCGGCATGAAGCCGCCTCTTTTGCGTGCAGGTCCGGCAGGCGGTGACGTGTGTGGTGGGGGGCTGGCTGCTGAGTCTGCGGGACCGCTACTCCTTCTTCCACAAGCTCATCCCGCTGCTGCTGAGCAGCTTCGACGACGACGTGCCCGAGGTCGCGTAAGTGGCCAGGCTGTCCTGGAGCGGCCGTCAGGCTCCCCGTTTGCCGGGCTCTGCGGCCCCTGCTGTTGCAGGCGTGGGTCCTCCGTCCTCTTCCCCGGGACTTGTCGTCCCTACATCGTCATCTACAGTGACGCTTGTTTGCTTTGCTGCGGAGTCTCCTTGTGACGCCCCCCCCCCCCCCCCCCGCCCCGGTGCCCTCATTCTAGATGCCGCGAGGTCATGGGGCGTCCGGCAGGCCTCTGCGGTTTTCAGCACTTCGGGTACACGCATAGAAGTCAGTCGCCTTCAGTGCTGTCAGTGAAGCGCTCAGAAGCCCCACAGATGGCCTGGTCCTGGGCCCCTGCAGGAGCTCCCCTGACCTGTGTCTGTGCTGCAGGCGCGTGGCGGCCAACCTCTGGGAGCAGGTGGGCCTGCAGTGGCAGAAGGAGAACGAGGAGGACCTCAAGGACAAGCTGGACTTTGCCTCTCCGGCCCCAGCCCATCACCCGTCGCCAGGTGAGTGCCGCCTTCCCCAGGGCAGTGATGGGGGCTGGGGGCTCTGAGGGGTCCCCGCGTCACCCTGCACTCTCGGGTGTCCCGCGGCAGCACTCGGCCCCTCCCGTGGACGCCGCCTGGGTCTGGCCCTGGGTGGGTGAGGGTGACGCATCCCGCGGAGCTGTGGGTGGTACTTCAGCGTTTTATACGAGAAGCTTTTGTAACTTCATCTGATGACGCAAACACGGGTCACGGGGGCTGCAGCCCTGTGTTTCAGGGTGATTTCCGCGGTCGAGGCGGAGGCTGCCATCCCTTCCCTCGCTGCGGGGCCAACCTGCGCGCCCCTGTGTCAGTGTTGGGAGCAGGTCTGGCCATGGCTGCAGCCCCCCGCGGCCCTGGCCTGCACGCCCTCGGCTTTTCCGTTCTGGAAGCTGCTTCCTCTCGTGGGTGGCGTGTCTCCAGCTGTGCTGGATCAGACGCCGCTGTCACCACGTCTGCATGCGCGGCGTTTCTTGACGTTAGACAATAGCGAGGTGCACGCTGACGAGGACAACACGTAGCACCCGAGGCAGCCAGACGTACACAGACCACCTCTCCTGGCCTGGTTCGGGCAGGCGGTGCGGGCCAGCTGGGCCTGACGGGACGTCGAGGCTGCACAGGACAGCATCAGGACAAGCACTGCAAGCGGCGTTCGGGTGATGTGAAGTTTGTGGTCGGTAAAGGAGCACCTCCTCCTAAGGTGCAGCTCTCATCTCCGTGTCCACGCACGCTCCGCCCCTCCATGCCGTGCGGTGGGTAAGGGGGATCACACGCGTTCTGGAAAAGGTGTGAGAACCAGCTGCTGGCAGCATTTTTCTGTTTCCCTGAAGCCCGAGAACACTCCCTTTAAAAACATAGAACGTAGACACCCAGGTTTGGAGTTTCCTTTGCAGCGCGCGCACCCTCGCTGCCTGTGAGGGAAGTCAGTTCTGAAGGTGGCGCTCGTATTCTGTCAGAGCATCTCCCTCCAACCCCAGAGTTAGCCTGCGCCCCGGGCAGACCGGGAGCCCGTGGGGTGTTTATTGACAACACATCTCCACTAGGTTCTGGCCGTTGACAAGGAAACAGTCATTCTCTCCGGATGCGAGGTCCAGGAGGGCTGCGTGGCTCGTTCTCTGCCAGCCCTGAGGCTGTAAGCTGGGTCTTCACGTCTCACTGGCTCCCTGGCCCCGCGTGGCCCGGGGAGACTGTGCTGGGAGCGCTCTGGCTGCCCTGTGCTGTGCTGGCGGTTTGTCCTCGAGGTCACACGCAGGCATCGGGGCGTCCTGGACAGGCCGCCCTGCAGGGAGGACCAGGGTCGCGGGGCCAGGGACTGGGAAGATGCAGGCCTGGAGGTGAGGTCGGAGGGAGGGCCAGCCCAGCGCGCACTGCACGGAACACAGCCAGCCAGGCGCACGTTCCAAGGCCTGGAGACCGTGGCTGTCTCAGAAATGCTGCTCCCATTAGAGCAGAGTAAATTTAGAGCTGAGTTACAATCAAAGTTAGTGGCATGAGTGCTAGGTTTCATTGGATTTTTGGCATTTTTCCCCTAAAAGTTTCCCCTAAAATTTTTCTTTCTTAAAATTTGAATCTTAAATCTAAGTTTTCAGGGGGTTTTTTAGCACCATTTCGTATGTTCAATTATGTCAGTTATCTCCCCAGAGCCTCGCCAGGCTTGTCTCGCTGAGCCTGGCCTCCTGTGCCACCCCGGCCCCCAGCACCGTCTCTCTCCCTCAGGTCCCCTGACCACACTGCAGCCCCTCGGGACAGGCTGCCTTCTTGATCTCTGATGTCATTTACGTAGGAAGCTCACCCTTCACAGATAGAGTTCCATGAGTTTTCACAAACACAGGTGCCTGCCCCTGCAGTTAAGATCTAGAACATTCCATCGGCCCCGGCTGCCTCCTGCCCCTGCAGCTGCCTCTCCGTTGTCTTTCCCTGTAGTTCTGCCTTTTCCAGGATGCGTGAGCGACACCCCACAGGCAGCCTTCTTGTCGGCTTCATCTGCTCAGTGCACCTGAGGCTCGCCTGTGGCTGCGTCAGAGCTTTTCCATTCCGTGGGCATCCCGCAGCTTTTCCCTCACTCACTGAAGGGCACGTGGTGGTTTCCAGTGCTGGGTGATCCCCGATAGGGCTGACGTAGGCAGCTGCATACAGGCTTGTGTGAACCCACGTCTCCCAGATAAACTCCTGGGAGCAGGGCTGCTGGGTCGTGTGGTGGCTGTGTATGGTTTCATGGGGACGGCCACGTGGCTCTCCATGGCACCTGCATATTTGCATCCCGCCAGCAGGGGAGGGGAGTCTGGCTGCCCCGTCCCGGCCGCGCTCGGTGGGTGGGGCTGTGTTGGAGGCATCCTTGCTGGGTCCTGCAGTGACTTCCCTGACGACAGACGATGCGGAGCGTCTTGTCATGCACTTATTTCATAGTCTTGTCCTCAGCTGTCCTTTGGTTAAGTGTCTGTTCAGATCTCCGGTCCATATTTTCAAGTGGGTGGTGGTTCTCTTAGGGAGCTTGAGCCGTGCTTCCTGCCGTCTGGGCGCCATCCTTTGTCGGGTCTGTGTTTGCGACTCTTCTCTGGCCCAGCTGTCTTTGAAGTCCCAGCTTGTGCCCACCTGGTGGCCCTGGCGGGCACTGTCCCCCTCCTCCTCACCTGCTGCTCCTCGTCACGGGGCTCGGCTCCTGCCTCACCACTCAGAGAGCCACTCGCCGCAGCCTCCCTCCTCCCGCCCCGCTTTCTTCCCGTCGCCTGCCTCCAGCCGATGTCATGCTGTCCTGGGTCAAGTGTCTGCTCGTGCTCTGAGAGGGCACGCGTATCTACAGCCACATCGCAGCACCTGGAACAGGTGCGCCAGGCACGGCGTTGTCTCAGCCAGCGTCGGGTGCGCGAGCGAGTGGGGGCTGCGCCTGCTCCCACCCGTGAGGCTGGACCGTGACTGTGGCTGAGCGGCAGACGGAAGGGACGTGATAAGGCGCACAGGGCACTGCCGATAGACGCTGTGCTCACACGTGCCGCCCTGTCACACGAGGAATTCAGGGAGTGTGCTCCAGGACCAGGGGTCTAGTCGGAGCCCAAGTCCCCCTTCCTGACAAAGTAAGGTCCGTGTGGCGTAGAAATACAGTCTGTTTACTACACAGCTTGTCGTGAGCTCTGCAGACACACTGTAAGCTTCCTGTTACAGCACTGAGAAAATCTCCACTTTCAAAACCAGGCTGTGTGTTGAAAGGGAAGACGGTCGGGGCATCCGTTGTCCGCCTGAGCGCAGTGCTCCTCTCGTGCGGAAGCTCAGGTTCCTGCTTGATGGGCATCTGCACATCGCGCCCACGAGCCGCCAGCAGCAGATCAAGCGGTGACAGCGGGTTCCGGAGTCCTTTCTGCTCTGACATCAGCCTCTGTTGAAATGTTTTCCTTGGTGATGGTCGAGTGAGAGGGGAAGCACCTCGTCATGACGGTGGATGGTTTGCCAGGTCTTTTATCACGAAGGATGGAGTTGGCTTTTTTTTTACCCATTTTAGAAATAAGTAGTGTTCCCTCCGAGGAAACAGGCTGCCATGTGGCTCGTCTCCATAGTTCCCTTGTGTTCTCTCACTCCCCCAAGAGCCCAGACCTGCTCTGCTCGGCCTGCGTGTTTCACCCAAGTGCTCAGGAAGACGGGGGACCTGAACAGGCGTTGTCAGAAATGGCGCGTTGTGCAGAGGAAACGGGCCAGGCAGAGGAGAGCCTGACTACAGAGGCGGGTTGGCATCATGGGGACCAAGCAGGGCTCCGTGGTGTGGACGTCGACCCGGTCTGAACTTGCTCTGGGTGTCGGGAGCAGCTCCCCATGTGAGGCTGGAGGGAAGAGCAGAGCCTCCCATTTGGAGGCTGTGTCACCCTGTTCACGCGGAACAGGCGCCACTCTCCTCCTTGCACAGTGAGGAGCTGAGGCCCAAAGGGGACATGGCTCGTCCCCAGGCGGCAAGTCGGGACCCGCACCTAACCGAGCCAGGTCTCAGATTCTAAGCTCCTGTGTCTCCTGGTGACCTGCCCTGACCTCCTTCTCGGCTGACCCCTCGTCCTTGCACCGAGGGGCCCCCAGTTCTTCAGGAAGATCAGTCGCTCCTCGGGGACATCAGTGCCTGTGAACAGCCAGGACCTCGCACAGAGCGCCCAGCGCCTCCTACGTGCCGCAGGCGGTTGCCTCACATCCCCGCGCTGGGTTCCGGCAGGCTCGGCGGCGCTCCCACCCGGCATGTCTGACTTTGCTTCAGTTGTGACAATACAGTGGCTTACACACGCTTGCCTCTTGTCTGCCTGCGTTGGGTCGCTCAGCCTCGTCCTGCAGACGCTGCGCCAGCCTGCGCTGTCCGTCTGCTCTTTTGCAGACGTCCACTGGAATTGTCTTGGCGTGCTTTTTGCTTGCTAAGTACTGCAATTATGTTTTCAAAGAAGAGATTACTAGATAATGGCTGAGCGTTCTGGGCACCTGACCAACCGGCAGCTTGGACTCTGGACTTAAGTTAATCATCACTCAGACCTCAGGGCACATCCTTGGGATTTCCCTCTGCCCCTACGCAGGATAAATAGAAACACCTACCTCGTGTTGTTTCTGAATCAGAACCAACCAGATCTGGGAAGGAATGTGGATGTGGAGAGCCAGAACTCTCGACCTTGCTGGGGGAAAGGCACATGGTGCGGCCACTTTGGAAAACAGTGTTAAACTTACAGTTACCCTGTGGTCCAGCCACTCCACCCCCAGATAAACACTCAACAGAAATGGAAACTTGTGTCTGCCCAGGGTTTTTGTGTCGTGTTCACAGCATTATTCAAAATAGCCCCAGAGTGGACACAGCTGTGTCCTCAGCTGATGAAGGGATGGACAGGTGTGGCAGGTCCATGTGGTGGAGGCGTATCCAGCCATGTGTGAGAGTGGCGCTTGCTGCAACGTGGGGAAATCTCACAAACACCATGCTGAGTGAAAGGAGCTCCTTTGTGTGAAATCTCTGGAGGAGACAAAGCCACAGGCACAGAGAGCAGATTAGTGGTTTCCGGGTGGGGGTGGGGAGTGACTGCAGACAGCACAGGGGCCTTCTCGGGGTGATGGACGGTCCTAAAACGGGGCTGCGGGGTGATTGCACAGCTGTGTGAATCCCCTGACACTCAGCTCACAGGACTCGTGAGTGATTTCCACAACAGGTAAGTCATCCCTCCATAACGCTGTTTTTGAGAAACCCGCTGAGGCTGGAGTCACTGTGAGCAGTCTGTTTGTGCAGTTAGTACAGGTTTACTGTGGCCTCTCCGCCCCCGGCACAGGAGATGGGGGCTGGACGGACCCCCTCCTTCCCTGGGCTTGATCTCGGGGACAGCTGTCAGCATGATGGGCCTGGCCCGCCTCTCACCCAGAGCCGCTGTGCCCCCGGGGCTGCAGGTGCAGGAGCCTCTGCCTGGAAGACAGGCACCTTGACAGCAGGCAGCCAGGGCAGCGCTTCTGAGGGAATCTGAGATAAGGCACTTCTGGGAGGGGAGCCGAGGTCCCTTCCGGAGCCTCTTGACCACTGGTGTCTGTTCGTGTCCTCGTGAGCTCACAGCCACGTCTGATCGGGGCGGCTTTCGGTGCAGATAAGCCCTTATGTGTGTGCCTCAAGCTCTGGGCCTTCGTCGTGTGTCCCGTGGAAGCTGCTGTGGGAGGCGCCCGTGCCCACGGGAGAGAGAAGAGTTAGTCCCATCAGACTGATGGTTGTGGACGTCACTGCTTTGGAGACTCCTAGGTGCCCGTTGTTTGAATTCACCCTGTGAACCGAGCAATTGAGCTCAGCCGGGGGTTCCCAGGACCCCTTTCTGTGTCTAAGCACAGCCTTGGGCTTGCTGGGCAAATGCTGGTTGAAATGCCAAACGTGAATAAAGAAGACATACTTAGACCCTTAGACCCAGGAGTTCCACCAGGATTAGGAGTTACTCCTGTAGCTGTACTGACTGCGTGTACAGGGAGAGTGACGGGACCTCCTCGTGGCGGTGGAAGACTGACAGCCCTCGGTCCCTTGGGGGCTGGCACAGGCAGCTGGGCACTGTGTGGACAGCAGTTGCAGAGCTGCCATGTGCATGCTGGGGAGATCTCTGATTGCAGATGGATGAAGGATGTGCTGTATTTGGAGTGTGGGGAAGGTGGGTGCCCGTGTATTTGCAAACACACAGACCGTCTCCAAGGTGCCCCAGGGAGGGGATCGAGAAGCTGTGCACAGGGTGGGAGGGCTGCTCAGCTCTTTATTCTCTTTGGAACCCTTGGTGGTTTTTTTTTTTTTTCTAACTTTGTTCATGTATTAACTTTTTAGGAAAGAAACCAAAAAGAAGGTTAACAACAATTGGGTCAATAAATTCTTTTTGTTGTTGTTGAGGAAGATTCACCCTGAGCTAACATCTGTTGCCAATCTTCCTCTTTTTTATTTGAGCCAGCACAGATGGCCGCTGACAGATGAGTGGTGTAGGTCCGTGCCCGGAACAAGCCCAGGCCGCCGAAGCAGAGTGCACTGAGCTCACTAGGCCACCAGGGCCGGCCCAGGTCAATAAATTCTAATGCTCTCTTCTGTGTGGCTGTTTAAAACCATGCTCTAGATTCTTGAGTAATTCTTGAGAGCAGCGCTGAAGTTTCCGCAGTGGTGGTCATGCTCTCTGCTGTCCAGTACAGCAGCCACTGGCCAGTGAGACCTTGGAACGTGGTTAGTGGGACTGAGGAGCTGAAGTCCTCACTTTATTTACGTAGCCACGTGTGGCCAGCTGCTCCCATGTTGCAAAGTGCAGGTCTCGAGTGTAGGATGGGTGGGCACACTTTCTGTAAAAGGACGGTGACTGTTCGAGGCTTGCAGGCCGGATGCTGTGTGTCATGGCTGTCCGGCTCGCTGTTGGGATGCGAAGCAGCCCCAGAAAACAGTAAATGAGTGGACGTGGCAGTTTTCCAATAACACCATTAGGAAACAGGCAGCGGCCAGGTGTGGCGTCTGAGCCAGTGTGCCAGCCCCTGTTCTAGGAGAAAATCGTCGTGTCTGCTGTGTGAAGTGCAGAAAAATAGGCTTCAGAACCACATACGTAGAGAGGCCTCGTGTTTCTTTGAAAATACCTCCACAGGCCCCTGAGTCCCCGGAGCGCCTGCCCCCGCTGTTCACAGGCCCTCCCAGCCCTTATGTGTCCCCTCGTCTCAGACTCCACAGTGGCTGTGTCATTAGGAAGAAGATGTACTTAGTGTTTTGGGTTTTTGTCTATTTTTTACAAAATTGTAACAAACTCACTTAAACAGCCAACAGAATTTGAATCATTTGGAACTAATTCTGTAATAGAGCATGAAAATGGACAAGTAACAGGAATAAAAACTGAAAATGGGGGCTCATGGTACAGGCTGTTCTTTCTACTAAAACACACCCTTTAAACTCTGACGTATCCTGGTGCCGTTTCTCTCTTGAGAGTTGGTTTGAATTTCTAAGGTCAAAATCTTTTAATTGAAATCCTCAAAGCCTTTTTTGTGAAAAATCAACGAACTTATTCTAAAATTCACATGGAGATGCAAAGGCCCAGAGCAGCCAGAACTTTGAAAGTGAACGAAGTTGACAGACTAACAACACTCGCTGGTTTCAAGACTCAGGAGCCCACAGTGACCAGGACGGCGTGGCGTCACGTGAAGACACGTCGGCGGAACAGAGCAGAGTCCAGAATTAGACACACACAGCGGACAGCTGAGTTTTGACAAAGGTTCAGAGACAGTTCAGTGGGGAAAGGATGGTCCTTCACCAGTGGTGATGGAATAACTGGATATGCAAAAAATGAGCTTGGATCCATTCCTCATGTGATTCATGAAAATTGACCCAAAACGCATCAGCAACCTAAAATTTAAACTGTAAACCTTCTAGAACAAAACCTTCGTGCCCTTGGGTTCAGCAAAACTTTCTTAGATATGTCAAAAGCACACTCCATGAGAGAATCAGTTGATAAATGGACTTCACCAAAATAAAAACGTCTGTTCTTTGAAAGACATTGTTAAGAGAATGAAAAGACAAGCCACGACTGAGAGAAAATATTTGCAAATTATATATATAAGGACAGGTATCTAGAATACAGAAAGAACTCTCAAAACTCAACAAGAAAGCAAATGATTCCTTTTATTGGTGGGCAGAAAAAGTTTTGAAAAGACACTTCACCAGAGATACAGAGCTGGCAGATAAGCATGGGAAAAGATGCTCCACGTCATTAGTCACTAGGAAAATGCAAATGAAAGCCACAAGGAAATGCCTCTGCACCCTCTTAGGGGGGTTTAGATTTGGGACCACCCACTCGAAGTGCCACGAGGACGTGGAGGAGCTGGACCTCCACACGGCCCGTGTGGGCGTCAAATGGTGCAGCCGCTTTGGAAAACCGTCTGACAGTTTCTTAAAAAGCTGCATGTACACCTGCCACGTGACCCAGCCTTTGCTGTCCTAGGCACTTACCCGAGAGAAGTGAGAGCAGCGTCCACATAGACACTTGGACGTGAGTGTTTGTTGCCTGACACGGAAACAACCCCTGTCCGTCAGCCCGTGAGCTGTCCGTCAGCTCCACGCAGCGGGAGACTGCTCAGCCATAAAAAGGAATGAGTGCAGCCACCACATGGCTGGATCTCAAAATAATTCTACCGAGTGAAAGGAACCGGACAAAACAGAGTGTATACTGTACAATTCCACTTCTAGAAAACTCTAGAAATTGCAGCTCCCCTGTAGTGACAGAAAGCAGACCCATGGCTGCCTGGGGGTGAGGGTGGGGAGGGCCGGGTCGTCACAAGGGGCCCGGGAGACTTGGGGTGATGGACGCATTTATCATCTTGATTGCTGTGATGGCTCGCAGGTGTGCCCAGATGTCAACACTGATCAGATGGTGCATGTTAAGTGTATGTCACTTATTGTGTGTCACTCAATATTGCTCTAAAAAAGTCTCCAAGTAAATTATGACACTTGATGGCTTCATTTCTGCCTTCAGAGTTGGCTTGAACTTTTAAGGCCTCGAAATAAAATGGTGGGTGTACTCCAGGGACGCAGGTAGGCGACTTTCCTACGCAGCACTGGGGTTTTGTGAGTTTCACGGTTGACTTTGGTCCTTGTGATCCCCAGAGAATCGCCCAGCATTGGGCTGTCGGGAGCTCGTCTTCAGAAGCCTCTCCAAGATCCTTCCCGCCGTCTGTCACGACATCACCGACTGGGTGGCGGGGACCAGGGTGAAGGCCGCGCAGCTGCTGGCGGTGCTGCTGCTCCACGCGGAGGACCACGTGACGCAGCACCTGGAGCTCCTCCTGAGAACCCTGCTCCGCGCCTGCGCCGACGAGGAGCGGGCCGTGGTCAGCAGCGTGAGTGCCTCGCTCTGGTCACGTGGCCTGAGCCGTGACCGCGGACTGTCACAGTCACTTCCTAGGTGTGCAGGGCTGGGGCTTAGGCAGTCCTGTAGTCGCCACCACAGTTACGGTACAGAAAGTGTCTGTGGCCCCGAGACCTCCCTTGGGTCTTTCTGTGTCCAACCCCCGCCCCACGCCCTGCCCCACAGCCACTGATCTGTCTTCTGTGCCCACCGGGAGCAGCTTTAGAGGGTCACCTCCAAGGCGTCAACCCAGTGGCTCTGTATGTCATTCTGGCTCTGTGTGTCGTTGTGACCCTGCATGTGTCCTTGTGACCCCATGTGTGTCTTCCTGACCCCGCGCCTGTCCTCGTAACCCTGTGTGTGTCCTCGTGACCCCATGCATGTCATCGTGACCCCATGCGTGTCTTCCTGACCCCGTGCCTGTCCTCATAACCCCGTGTGTGTCCTCGTGACCCCATGCATGTCCTTGTGGCCCTGTGTGTGTCGTGATCCCGTGCATGTTGATTGTATAAGTGTGTCGTGCACCCGTCTTGATAGGCAGCCCGGTGCCGTGGCCCTCTTCTCCCACCCATCCTGAGGGCCCGGGAGCACCAGGCCAAGAGAGGCGGCCACATGGGCTGCTGCTGCTGGGGGTGGAGCCCTGGGGGCAGGCATGGAGGAGGGGAGCAGGGAGGGGCGCATGGGGCCCACGGGGCGTGCGGGCAGCCCTCAGCCTTCTCCCGTCTCTCAGGCCGCCAGGTCCGCGGAGCTCATCGGGGCGTTCGTCAGCCCTGACGTCTTTCTGAAGCTGCTCTTGTCAGTGCTGAGGAAGTCGCCCTCCCCCTCGGGCCTCCTGGTCCTGGCGTCCGTCCTCCGAGGCTGCCCACGGGAAGCCCTCCAGCCGCACGTGAAGGGCATCGCCACCGCGCTGGCCCAGCCCCACATCTCTCAGGGGGCTGAGAACGTGAGTGTGGGGCAGGGTGGGGGGCCCAGAGCGTCGTGAAGTGAACCTGTCAGCGTGCACGGACGCGTGGTGTCCCCGCCAGAGGCTGCTACACGCAGTTGCTGACGGTTCCCAGTAAATCCGCGCAGGCCATGTCTGCACGAGGCCCACAGCCTGTCAGGTATCCGCCCGACACAGTCGCCAGGCGCTGCCACCGACGGTCTCCTGTGGGACGACTCGCCTGCCTCCTGCCTCGTTCTGCTCCATCCAGCATGGTGGCCATTTAAAATAAAATTAAACGAATTAAAAACCCTGTTCCTCGGTCATGCTGGCCGTGTTTCGAGTGCCCGATAGCCACGTGTGGACAGCACAGAGTAGAGCATGTCCATCGAGGCCAGTTCTGTTGGACCGCGCTGCTGCCATGGGCTTGGTCGGCAGCTCTGAGGGGTCCACCTCTTCCCGGTGCTCTGAGACTAAGGTGCAGGTCGGCCCACCCGTCTGCTGGTCCATGTCAGACAGGTGCAGACACGCATCTTCAGCCTTCATCACGAGCTCATGCCTTACCTGCGTGACTTTGCATTCCGATAACATGCTTAACAGAGGCAACCTGGCGGTTTGGCAGACTCACTGGAGCCTGTGCTAGCTATGATATTTGTTCCGTTTTAAATTGAGCAGTAAATCCGTTACATCCAGTCTGAAGCGGTCTAGGGCGGCAGGCTCAGTCGTTTGGAAGAACGTGTGATTGTTTGCTGTTAAAGACGAGACAATGGCTTTGTTGTCATTCGGCTATGACAGGATCGCGCCCTGGAAACCTTGGCATTGGGCTGCGGCCGTCCAGACCTCTGCAGAGAGGCGAGGGTTTGCTTCTGCCGGTTGTCTGCCCGGGCCATGCAGGCCTCGGGACACAGCCACAAGCGGTGCGTCCTCAGCTCAATCCTTGACAGTGGCTGCTGTGGCCAGAAAGCTGGGCAGGAGGGAGGGGCCGGCGCTGCTCCCACACTGCAGTCTGGCCTCGTCTCCCCCTGACCCCGGGCAGGAAGGTGTGATTCACAGTCGTGGATGAACCACCGAGACGACCCTGGGAGGCGGCTTCTAGAATGCAGAGGGGCAGGGCTGAGGGCTGTCTCGTCTGCTCTGCGTGTTTTCAGCCATGTTCCAACTTTCCCAAAACCCATTCTTAACATAATCATCAAACCTGTGCAAGTCCTGCCTTTTCACTCAGCAGTGGCTCTGACCTTGATTCCTCTACCAAGCTGCGAGCCAGAAGTGTTTCTTTCTAGAAGAACTTAGCAATTTGTGTGGGTGTTATAAACTCAGCAGCAAAGAAAACGTCATTTTCACATCTTTGTATTGGTTATAGAAAAACTTAACCCCTCAATCTGTGAAGTTCAGACTCTGTGTTTGGCTCCTTGTCTTCTACTTTTTTAAGGAAAAACTTGATCTTTTAACAAAGAGAGACCCCCTCGTAGCAAAGTTCCATCGCACATCAGCGTATGTCTAGACACTCCAGCCCTTGGCCAGGACCGGTCGTAACAAAGACCCAGGACGCCCACTCGACTCCTTTCTGCAGGCTGAACCGGCCGGAGGGACGGAGCCTGGCCTGGGGCAGAGGCGTCTGCTTCCCGCCCCCACCCCCGCGTGCCCTGTGTGGCAGGAGGGCCTCGCGCTCACGGTCACTCGCGACCTTGGGGAGGCAGTGCGTGTTGCCTGTGGTGCTGGCCAGTGGCTCTAAGAACAGCCTCCACACGTCTCTCAGGAACACGCTGAAATGTGAAAGCTCCCGGGCACGTGTGGACCGCGAGTCTGGCCATCACGGGTGGGGTCGAGTGGGAGCGGCATCCCTGGTGGCTCAGCGCAGGGAGCCCCGTCCTCGTCTGTGAAACGTGTCTGTTCGGTGACGGGTGACAGAATTGTTGGGTCACGTCAGGATAACTCACTTACTCCTGTTTAAAGAAAACCGGGAGAGCAGGCGTGGCGTCGCCACTGCTGAAACGCGGAATCTCAGTCACTTGCTGTGTGCCGTCCCGCATCTCAGCTGACACTGTTTCAGGAGCCAAAACGACTGAGTGTCGTTTCCCACTGTGTCGGTTTTTTTGGCTCCGTGTGTGTGTGTGTGTGTGCGCGTGTGTGCCTAGGTAGATGTCTAAATTCTCTGGTTAAATATAGAGAAATCTGCCAGTGCCGAGGCCTGGTTTCCTCAGAGACGGTGCTGTCTCCACAGCAGGAGGCGATGCGTGGGGATGAGTACATTAGTAGTGTGGGTGTGTCATGAGGCAGCTCAGCAAAGCTAGCGGTGGCACCATCTTAAAGACTGAACTCCCGGGGCCGGCCCGGTGGCGTAGCGGTTAAGTTTGCACACTCCACTTCGCTGGCCCGGGGTTCACGGGTTCATATCTGGGTGTGGACCCACACACCGCTCATCAAGCCATGCCGTGGCGCATCCCACACACAGAACAGAGGAAGACGGGCACAGATGTTAGCTCAGTGACACTCTTCTTCCCACACACACGAAAAAGTGAATTTTTTTTTATTTTGATGGAAAAAAATAGCTCCTTAAATGTATATGTATTATGGGTCATTTTAGAAATTAGCCAAGATCTTGTCCTCACAAAATCAATCAATCCAGGCCTAAAAGAAATTAGGCTGTGGGAGAAGGAAAGGCTGAGAGAATCACCCGCCTGTGGCTTCTCACAGGAGCTGGGACGCCCATGCGCTGGCCGGGCCCCAGGTGGAGCCGTGTCCAGCTCCTGCAGGCGACGTGCGTGCCCCGTGTGCTGTGGTCTCCTGAGGTGACAGCAGGGCCCGGGGGTGCGTGGAACAAATTGCTGAGATCCAGCGTGAATATCTTGTTTAAACTTTGGTGATTTCTATCGCTCGCGAATGAGTCATGGAGTTCTAGAACTGACTCTGAGTTTAGAACTAATTCATTTCCAGCTGAATAATCACCACACCCTTTTGCGCTCACACTCCGTTAGTAAAAGCACTGAGGTGTGCCCTCCATTACATGCACGCTTGTTTGCGAACCATGTGGACAGATCGCACACGTGACCCCTCCCACCCCACTCTGTGCTGTGGGAGGCACAGTGACAAAGGTGGGTCAGACGGCCGCTGCAGAGGCGATCATGCTAGCGCATTGGGGTCCCCTGTGCCCCACGCCCACGCCCGTCCCGTCTCAGTTGACAAGGCTGCAGCCCCAGGCTGAGCGTGTACGTCCACCCGCCGAGCCGCCACCTTGTCCCCGAGGGGTCGGCAAGCGCCTCTGAACCGCGTATTTTTGTTTTTCATTAACAATGTTATACAAACACTCACAAAGTGCACAGCAGCAGAGCGAGCCCTCACGTCTCTGCTGCCCAGCGTCCGCTGTCGTCTACTCTGTCCACTCTTACCTTATCGCTCACCCAGCTTTTATTTTTAACTTTGAGGGGCGGGGTGGGGCAAGTGGGAGTCTTTTGGAGCAAATCCAAGATGCCCTGTCATTTCACTTGTAACTTCTACAGTAGGCATCGCTGACACCTAAGAACTTTTTTAAAACACAACTAAAATACCATTAAGCCTTTAACAAAATTAGTGTCAACTCCCCAATCCTTAGGCCGCATTCAGCCTCCCCTGTTGTCTGAAAGAGTGCCCTCTGCATGGTTCGTGCGTTTGACCCCGTGGCCCGACACAAGTTGCCGTGGCTCTCTGTGCTCCCCGTCTCCTGATGTGGGTGGGCCTTGGCTGAGCCCTTGTGCGGGCGGTGGGAGGCGGTGGCCCAGGGAGAGCCTGACGTGCTCCTGCTCTCTTCGCAGCACCTTTATGGGGAGCACCTGCTGCTCTGCGTGCAGGCTCTGATCGCGGTGTGCCGCGAAGACTGCAGAGGGTCCAGCCTGCAGCTCATGGAAGTGCTGGTGACCGTGATGGCCTCCTCGGGCGCCACAGGCCTTGGTGACAAGGTGAGATGGGTGGGGACCGCCTGCGCTTTGCTGGTGGGCAATGGAGCTTCTGCCGAGGAAGACTCTCATCTCTGAGCAAATGGAAGTGTCGTCTGCAAGTATCCTGCTCTTGAATTCCAAGCCTCAGGCCTCCCCGACTCAGGCTGACAGCAAAGGTGAAACAGCAGGACGTTTGGGGCAAGTCACTCGTGAGGCAGCTTTGGAGGTGCACAGGGTCTTAGGTCCCCTCCAACTGCCAGTTCATTTTAGTATCTCAGAGTGAAGGCAACGTCTTCACCTTGGAGTCCACCGCAGAAAAGCGACAAGAAGCGAGACCATCCTGGCCTTAAAGCCGTGCGTTTGAGTGTGGTTATAAACACCACGTGCGGCTCAAAGTCCAGAGAAGAGAGCACACCCTGACTTGCCTATGTGATTGCAGCCCAACTTTGCAAAGTCATTTCTGTTGCACGGGCTCCATATTTAGGCTCAAAGGCTTCTGGCGGCCAGTTTCCCACACACTCTGAGCATCGTCCCAAGACCCAGGTTGTTGCCTCTTCCCTGAGAGCCAAGAACTCGTTCTTCCTTCCGGCTCTCACGCCAGCGCGTGGGCAGACCCTCGCTGAGCTGCCTGCCTGCCGGCGAGGGCAGCTCGGTGTCCAGGGCTCACGTCCTCCCACTCTTTCTCAGGCCTCTCTAAACTTTCATTTCTCTCTTTAAAAACCGCCTTTCCAAGGACATGTGTCTTAGCAGGTGACATGTCACGCCAGGGCCGTATGCACTGGCGAGAGGCGAGTCCCTGTGCCTGGGCCGCTGTCGGATTGCAGGCAAGGCTGCAGAACAGGCCCAGCCGCCGGCAGCTGCCCCATCGTGTCGAGTGCTCCCTAGTCTTTCCCAGGAGAATAGGGCCTCCGGCTCTATCTCCCAACCTCGCTCACGCTCCGTCCGCTCCGCCAGAGCAGCAGAGCCCGGGCATCTGAGGGTCTGGTCGGGGCAGAGAGCTGAGCGGGAGGACGCAGGGTATCTTTGACCAACGGACGCGGTTTGAGTCCCTTCTGCTCAGTTCCTTGAGCCACCTGGTCCCCCTTCTCCTTCGTAGAGCGAGCCCCAGCTGGCGCCCGGCTCTCCGCTCTGCAGAAGGCGCGTGAGGGCGACTCAGAGAGAGCCATCTCTCGGGGAGGCCCGCCTGCTCTCCTGCGGGCCTCATCTGTGCCGGCCTGGGGCGACCCGGAGCTTCTTAGGACGCGCACCTTTGTGTGTTGCGTGGTCGGTTTCGTGGTCGGCACTGACGTGACACGAAGGGAGATTGAGGTGGTGACACTGGCGCCTGCCGTGCTTCCCCCCAATCCGCGCTCTGAGGGGTCTGTCCTGTCCCACTTCCTCGCCGACTGAGGCTCGTGGGGACCTGGTTGTCGCGGCAGTCGTGTGTGAGGGGCTCTCGTGCTCCGACGAGGAAGGTGGGTCTCCAGTGGGGGTTGAGCCCTAGGAGCGGGAGTGTCCAGCCTGCACCTTGCATCCTCCTCCAGGTCCAGGAGACCATGGACGCCCTGGCCACGGTGGAGAGCGTCGACAGCAGCCAGGACCTCTACCGAGAGCACGCGGGCCCCCTCCTGGAGTGGCTGGCCGCGTCACACCACGACTGGACTGTCCACTCTGCGGAGCTGCTGCAGCTCGACGTGGTGGTCACGCACGCAGGTGAGCCCCCGAAGCACCCCCCGGGCCGGGGTCAGAGCACAGGTCACGTGGGGGCCATGCGCTCAGGTGAGCCCCCGAAGCACCCCACCAAGCCGGGGTCAGAGCGCAGGTCACGTGGGGACCACGCACGCAGGTGAGCCCCCGAAGCACCCCCCCGGGCCGGGGTCAGAGCGCAGGTCACATGGGGGCCACGCCAGCCCCACCGCAGACGCCAAGAACTGTCTGGGTGAACCAGGATGCCGCAGACAGAGTTCACCCCACCTGGGGTGCTGTTTCAAAGGGATCCAAGTCCCTCTTGTCCTTAGAGAACAGCATTTTAAGGGATGAAACTTCAAAGATGCGAGCGCCGTATGTTGAGGACTGTGGTGTGGCCCTTTGCAGCCTGCCCGGCACACGGTGTTGATGTTAAACCTGGAAAGTGTGGTTTTTCCTGGCCACCTTTGTAGCTGGCATTCTTCAGATGAAGGGCAATGTTACTGCAGATCTGAGCGTGTCCCCGCAGATCAGGGTGGGGGTGTGACTACAGCCCCTCCCAGACCTCACGTTTTTACCAGTTCTCCAAAAGTCTGCAGATTCAGGTCCTTCCCTGGAGTGAGCGGTACTGCTTTCTGGTCCTGGTACAGACACAGAACGCATCCTCGCATTTTAGGGAGGTTTTCATTAAAGGAAGTGCAGTGACTTGTCACACGTATCCTGTACTTTTCCAGGTGGCTGTAAACTTATCAAGCGAGCTAGTACTTTTTTCATTTAAATTGAATAAAAATTCTTTTTCCCTTTAAGCTGCCAACTCCCACGCGCCTTCTCTCAGTGCTCACCGCCCCCCCAGCTGGATAAAGGTGATTGTACTTGGATTTAAGGAGACACACTGTGAACCTGTGATGTCTGTGCGTTGCAGTGACCAGTCATTATGGTTGGGGTGCCCAGGACCTAAAGAGGGTTCATGGCAGTGACCCCACTGTTATGAGACCTAAGGAAGAAATCCAAAATTGTTCCTTGCCAGTTGTATGCAAAACTGTGTTTCCAAATTTGAAAAGAGAAACACAGAGCTTTTCCAGCCATGCTGAACGGTTTGTGCCAGACACTGTTCTGACTGCTTTCCGGGCGTCAGCTCTCCACCCCCTTGTGGCTGCTCTGTGTGGTAGGGGCCATCGTCTTCCTTTCAGAGGAGGAAACTGAGGACAGAGGGCGTCGGTGACACGCCCGGGGTCACACCGCTGACACTGGGATGTAACCTGGCAGCCACGCGGGAAGCTGCCCATTCCCCACCCCACGTGCCTCTGGGGGGGGGCCCCGTGTCTTTAATTTCACATTTTTACTGAGTGTTGTCCAAACAGCTTCGTGAATGAGATTGCTCGAGTCTTCTCCTCACGGATGAGGAAGCGGGCGGCGGGCGAGCCCTGGGGAACCAGCCCTCCCTTCCTCGTCAGCAAAGCCAGGGTTCGGGCGGCTGCACTGAGGTGGTCTCCCTGCAGTTTGCTATTTTTGTTTGCAGTTTTTACGGGTTGCTTATGGTGGTGGCATTCGTATTGGCACCTTGGAAAACACACTTATCTGGGCCCCCCCCTCACGTCACGCACAGGAAGGTGTTGATGGTTGGATGTTAAGCGACAAGAGCTGGTTTTAAAACTGCAATTCACTGATCCCAGCTGTGTTTTCTCTGAGCTGCTCTGTGTGCACACGTGCATGTGTGTGCGTGTGCCTGTGCGAGCACGTGTGTGCATGTATGTGTGCGTGGAAAATCTCAAAGTGTAACGCCATATCTCCACCGGAGTGCTCTGGGAGTGGATGAGTTTTGCTCTCCTTTTTAGTCTTTATTTTTCTGTATTTCCCAAGTTTTCTATAATGAGCTTATACTGCTGTAATGAACAGAGAAAACAAAAGGGTTTAAATAATTTTTTAACTTTGTAAAATTCTTTAATTCCTTATTTATAAAAGTTCTGTAAGAAGATGAGTTTCTAAACTTAATTATAAAACATTTGAAACGTACAGACTCAGATAACTTTCTGAATTTTGAAAAAATGGGGTGGCTACAGAGGAAAGAAAGAGATTTGAAACCAAAGAAGAGGCAAAGAGACTTGGGAACATTGACATCAGGTGTAACAGTGTCGAGACCTCTGTTACACAGACCCACACGCGTGAGGGCAGACGTGTTGCCCCCACATACAGACAAGTATCCGGGTTGTGTGGAAAGATAACTGGCTGGTGAACAAACAGTCAGAAAAGCGCAGCCTTTGTAAGAATAAAGAAATGTGGATTTTAAACTGTAGGATGCCATGTCTTCATCTGTCGTATTAGCCAAAAGTTAACACTGTCCTTGGTGTTCCCAGCGGAAGCGCTGGGCCCTGGCGGGCGGCTGTGGAAAGAAGCCCGTTCTTTGGGAAAGCATTTGGCATTATGTTCTAGAATTATCAGCATGTTCACATCCTTCTATCCAGCAGTCAAATTTATGAGAATCTGTCCTAAGGAAATGACCCTAATTATGGAGACAGTCATGTGCCCAGAAATACTCAGCAGGGCACAGCTTAGTAGCAGAAACTGGAAGTGGCCCAGGTGCCCACGGGAGTTAGCTGCAGGCCCGTCAGCCCTGGAGCCGCCCAGAGAGAGACTCCCTTGAGGTCTGCCGAGCTTGGTGCTGGGAGGCAGACCGGGCCCTGGGTGGAGTTTTAGCTGCTGGTTTTTGTTTTTTTAACATTCTTAACACCAAGGGGGCCGCTTTGCAAATGCTGCAGACCCCGCCTGCCCCCGAGGGCCATCAGCGGGAGGCAGCATGTGGCCTGGACTACGTTCTCTTCTCTGTCGAAGCCACAAAGCGTGGCCTGTTTCCAGTTTGTTCAGATGTCGAGAGTTGAGAAGGCAGAAGTGGCTCGGGAGCACGAGCCCCTGCGGCAAGCAGGCCTTCCGAGGCCCAGGCAGGAGCCCTCCAGGTCCGGCCAGCCTCCTCTGGGAAGGCGCTCCTTTCTGGCGCCCGCACTCTGCGCTCCCCTGGGCCCACCTCCCTGCAGGCACCTGCCTCGGACGCCTGTGGTGAGCGGCGCTGTGTCCCCGTGCGTTTTCAGTCTTGGGGGTGCTTGGTGTGGTGTCCTCACTGGACCCTCAGACTTGCCCATCTTTCTGTACCATGATGCTGACGTGCGCCCTGCGGTCCTGGGGAATTCTCTTTCCCCATTTTAACAGGGAGTGCTTGTCCCTCATGGACCGTGAGTATTGACAGTGACGTGTGCAGGCCCGGTCTGCAGAGGAGGCTGGGAACGTGCACAAGTTGGCGCTCTTGTGGAGGGGACAGCAGGACAGTCCCCGACGCCCTGTGTCCTGTGCATCCCCCGATTTCCATGGCGATAAAGCGGTCCTGGAGACGGGTCTCCGTCCTGAGCCCCTCGCCCTTCCTCCGATGGAGGTGGAGGAGCAGCCCGCATTTCCCGCCGGGTGGCGCAGCACCTTGAGCCTTCTCTCGGCCCTCCTGCTGGCGTTGCCCGCGGGCCCATCTTCCTGGTGGCGGCTCCTGCTTTGTTCTGCTCCTCTCCTCCCAGACCGTCTGTGGTGTCAGGTTGGTGGGCTGACGCCCTCAGGGCCTCCCTCTGTCATCTTGCCGCCTTGATGCCAGGTTTGCAATGGAAGTGGCCCTGCTTGCTTGCCGCCCCGCTGTTGCCGTGTCATGTGGCAGGGCCGTGTCATGTGGCAGGGCGGCGAGAGGCCCGCCTCCGCCAGCACTAGGATCGAGTCCTGTGGGCCCGGCCAGCCGGGAGGGAGCTTTGTGGCCGTGTTGTCGTGAGCTGCCACTCCCATCCAGACCCCAGAGGCTGTTTTATTCCCGTCATGATTCCCTGAGTTTCCAGATGCGAAGTACCCTTCCCTGTGTTCGAGGTGTTTCCACAGCCTGGGGAGACCTGCGTCTGCTGCTCCCTCCTGTGCAGTGCTGCCGAGCTCAGGGCAAACGTTAAACAACTTACACGCTCTGAAGGATTGATGGGTCGCTCTTTAAAATAGTGCCTGACTGTATTTTTTTTTAAGAATTAGGAAAAGATAAGAAAAATGGAAAGTTTACATATGGAATGATCGCAGTGACTCGGGAGGTGGAAATGCACTCGGTTACTTTCCTTTGACATCCGCGTCCACCACCCAGACGGGAGCGGAGGGCGATGGGGACCCCGGACCGCGGCCCGAGCTGAGACCACCTCCCGGAGCTGCGGGGGCCCCTCACTCGGCAGCCGTCTGAGGTGGTGGCGGCGCGCGCTGGGCCCCCGTCCTCCCGCCCAGTAGTAGCGGGGCTGCTGTCTGTTTTCCAGGCCCGGCCCTCGGCGAGCTGCTGCCCCAGCTCATCCCCGTCCTCAGGAGCTGCCTCCAGCCCGCCCGCGACCCAGCCATGCGCCTGCAGCTCTTCTCCATCCTGTCACGGGTGCTGCTGAGGGCCAAGGAGACGGTCGACTCCCAGGGGTAGGTTGGCTGTGCCTCCTCGCGGACCTATCCCACGCTGTCCCCCAGTCCACGCTGTCCCCCGCTCAAGCTGTCCCCCAGTCCACGCTGTCCCCCACCCCACACTGCCCCCTGACCCCATGCCTCACACTGTCTCCCATCCCACAGCCACCACTGCATGTGGCTGGGGCAGTGCCTCCCCCACACTGAGGTCTCAGGTGGGCACGGGGACCCCCAGCGCAGGCGGCCTGCTGTTGTGCTGCACGTGCCTCCTGGGTACACAGCACAGGCGCGGTCGCGACTGCTCCACGCAGACAGACACTGATCAGAGTCTTCAGTGTGGTGGTGAAAGTGCCTGCGGACGAGAACGTGGTGGGAACGTGGGCTGTTGATGGTTGCTGTGTCGGCCGTGCTCAGGTTCAAAGCTGTCGCACCTTCAGCCACACACGGGGATGACCAAGCTGCACTGACGGCTGAAGCGCTGGAGAAAGCCGTCCGTCATCTAGGGGACATGTTGGTGCCCCTGAGCCATTAGGGCCCCAGCCTCATGGCTTTGAAGTGAAGGGACAGGGGACAAGCGCCAGAGGTCAGCATTGACGGGTCCAGGCAGCCAGGGGACATGGCAGTCCAGAGCCGCCGCACCGCAGTGGACCCCACCACAGCGGGATGGGCACAAGGTGACCCCGTTCTGTGGGGACCACTCCTGGGCCCACGTCTCCCTCCGTCAGGTCAGCAAAGTACCCATAGCAAAGCGGGTCCTGCGGCCCCCACGTGAGGTGCTGGGAGCTGTTGGGGCCGCCCCTGCGGAGAGAGCAGATGCGCACAAGTGGAGTCCTGCCCGTCGTGGACGCGTCGTGAAGGTTCCCATGGAAATAACAGGGTCGTTCAGCCCATGCATCTCTGAACGTCATGCTCATCCCTCCGCTGTGGGCCTCGCCGGCCCGTGACAGTGCAGGAAATCTGCTTCCTGCTTGTCTGCAGAACCTCAGGGCCTGGAAGGGACCATCGCAAGGTGCTCAGCAGGGGCCCTGCAGCCCCCTGGCAGGCCGGCCTTCCACGGGTGACCCAGGACATGAGGCGGCATGGGCGGGCAGCCTCCCTTGGAAGCAGGCTCAGCCCGATGCCCAGGCACGGGCCGCCCTGCGAGACGCAGCCTCAGGCTCGGACGAGTTCCTGAGAGAATGGCATGTGAAGACAGGTGGACAGAAATCCGTAGCCGGAGAAGGAGTTGCGCAGTTTATAACCATTCTAGTGAAAGCATTAGCTGTTTCTACAGGCTGGGAAGATTTGAAAAAGAACAACTGCTTGGTTTTGATTTTTAGGATCAAAAAATGGCAGAGTCATAAATATCTTGTTGACTCTGCTGAAATGGAAACAGGAGGGAGGGCCTTGCTGACCCTCGTCTGTGCAGAATGTGCTCGGCCTTCGCGTCAGCCCTGCGGGCAGCCCTGTGGTTTGCAGTCCCCCTCCGAGGGTGGACAGCAGGGTGGGTGCCGAGGAGGGCGGGCTTCTGGCCGTGGGAGTGTCCCCCTTGGACGCAGGAGTCGTCGGGGTCCCATGGGCCTCCCTCATGTCTGAGGGAAGCGGGAGGAGGTGGGGCTCCTCACCTGGAGGATGTACGGTGGTGCCCGTTCAGCAGAGGTCCCAGGATGTGGGCCCTGAGCAGGGTCCCTCCCCGTGCTGCTGTTGGCCACGCGTGCCCATCTGACTTTCAGAGGCTGCCCCCCAGGGCCTTCCGGAATTGCCCCGTGGGGAGCCCTCCCCCCACAGCTGTCCGCTCCTGGGAGCAGAGCAGACACCCTCACCCACACTGCCCTTGGCTCTCCGTCCCCTCCTTGCGGGTGGCTCTGAGAACTGGGGACATGTCTCGTTTAAAAGTCACCTGCTGATAGAGGTGACACTAGGGACTTGAACGGGCAGCTCACCACTGGATCTGGTCTCACAGTGGAGTGGGGCCACGTGGGAGCCCCCCGAGCCTCGCTGTGGATCCCAGCCTGTGGATGGGGCGCCTCTGTGGACTCGGCGGGAGTCGTCCTTGAGAGGCAGGCGCTTCTTCCCTCCCCGCGGTTTGTCTCCGCGGCAGGTTCTCGCTGGGGTTGGAAGCAGCACGTGGCCCTCCTGGCCCCTGGGAGCCGCGGCGCTACCCCTTCCCATGGCCGTCTGGGGCGCGGGGTGCGGGTGTGTCTCCCCAGAGTCCTCTTGTCAGTCGCTGTGCGGGAGTCGGCTGCTCTGCTCAACATTAAAGTGCATTGAAGACTCCTGGGCGTGAGTCACCTGCACCCGATTTGCTTTCAGGGGCGCTTGCTTCTGCGTTGTCAGCTCGGGAACGCCCCCTGCTGGAGGCGAGCAGGTGGAGACTCAGAGGGAGCAGGGGTGGCAGCCGGGGACCTGCCAAGGGGGGGGGGGGGGGGGGGGGGGGGGGCGCAGAGAGCGCAGGCCCCGTGCAGCCCGGTGTCTTCTCTTCTGGGTTCTGAATCAGCTGAGCCGCCTCGACACGTACGTGGGAATGACGTTAGGATATAAACTGGTGAATCATTTGTTCAAGAAAATAGTTTGATCTGTCAGCAGAGGCCCGCGGTGCAGCGGGATTCATAAGAAGCGCTCTTCGTAGTTTCGTGAATGCCCCGCGGCCCTCCTCTGGGCGGGCGGTTTCTAACGGGGTCCTCTAAATGCGGCTCTGCCGTGCCGAGCTGGCCGGGCGCGGTGGAAATGGCCCCAGACTGGGATCTGGTCTGGTTTTGCTGTTTTTGTCTTGATGGCACGTCCAACTGTTGGCCTGGACCGTAGAGCCGACGTCCCCTGTGTTGGCAGAATGTCCGTGTCTCCCTGTGGCTGACTTGGGGCCCCTGAGTGCAGGCCTGAGGCTCCCTTCTCACTGAGCTGGAGGGTTAGAGGTCATAGGGACCGTGCAGCCTGTCTCAGTAGGGTCACCGCTCGTGGGAGTGACTTTGCTGGCCTGGCTGACGCTTGGGTGCGGCTCACACCTCCTTTCTGTCAAAGCGAGGAGGCACGACGGGAGAGGCTGGAAACACGTGTCCTGGGCCCTCCTGGGTGCTCTGGCACTCAGGACCTTTGGCTGGTCCCGGGGGGCGCCCAGAGAACTGCAGCCCTGGCCCTGTGACAGCCCCCGGCTCTCACTCGCAGTCTCTCCCTTCTCCGGCTGCAGAAAACAGCGCCGTCCCCTCTTCAGCCCCATCTCACCCCTGGCCAGTCTCCTCCCGGGCCTGCCCTGGGGGCAGAGGGCTCTGGCTCGGGCGTCCCCTCCAGTTTCCTCTCCCCCGTTCGCCCCCCTCGGCCCAGCTTGTTCCAGGCCGAAGCGCTTCCCTCGAGGCCCCGTCCACCCTCCTTACCTCCTGATGCTCTCCCTCCAGGCAGCTTCACAGCTACCTCGACACCCTGGTGAAGGACATCCTGGTCCCCAATCTGCAGTGGCACGCGGGGAGGACGGCCGCAGCCATCCGCACGGCCGCCGTGTCCTGCCTCTGGGCGCTCATCAGCAGCGAGAGCCTGTCGGCTGAACAGGTAGAACGCATCCGGGACCACGCGCGCGGGTGGTGCGCCGGCTCTGGGGTCTTCCAGGCGGGCCCACAGCCACTCGAAGGACACACACATCGCTAGTGCGCTCCTTCCAGGGAGGGGCCAGCCAGATGCTGCTCCCTGCAGCAGACGGGGGAGGGGACGTGGGCACCGGAGGTGAGCAAGGCCCGTCTAGGGGCACGGGGTCAGGTGGGAGGCATCTTGGTTTCTGATCCTGCTGGGTTTTCTTGGGTTTACGTGGCGCACGTCACTCTTTATGAGACAGAATTTGATCACAGCAGCCAGCTGTGCTGGAGGGGCCTGGGGCTTTCTGCGTTATTTTTATTCCTGTCTCCAGCTAGTACGGGGGTGGGGGAAACAGTAAAACAGAATTGCAGCGTGGGCTGTGCTGGGCTGTGCCCGCGTCCCGGCGGCAGCTCTCTGGTCCCCTGATGTATGAGCGCCCCCTCCTGGTGCGCTGGTGGCCGTGCTCGAGGTTAGAGTGTCCCCACTTTCAGGGGACACAACAGCCAGTCACGCCAGTGAGGAGCAGGCTGCACGGGTTTCTGCCTCACTGAGACCCTGTGAGTGACAGGTTTTAAAGCATCAACTGGCCGAGCTAAACAAATGTTCATGTCATCCAGGTTTTAAGTCAAATCTGCTCCTTAGGTAGAAATTTCCAAAGAGCTTTGCAACCCCATCATGCAGTCGGGCTCCACGTCAGCAGCCAACTGTGCAGCCGGCGCGGGCCTGTGTGGGAGGCGCCCTGTGGCCCGGTGTGTGCGGCTGCACCACCTGGGTCTGGGGCTGACAGGGCGACAACTGCCTGCCGACGCCCTTCTCAGGACATGCTGGTTGGTAGGTGACCAGCTGCGTCCGTATCAGAACAGGCTCTTGGTTGCAGGCACACGGTGAGCGCACAGCGTCTCTCACCAGGATCACGCGCGTCCTGAGTGTGTCTCACTGATTGCAGCTGCGGGAGGTGCAGGAAGCACTCACGCCTCAGATCCTCACCACCCTGGAGGAGGACGCCCAGGTGACGCGCCTCGTCTCCTGCCGCATCATTGACGCGTTTATGAAGGCCTCTGGCGCTGTGGTTGGTCCAGATGAGCTCGTCAAGGTCTATCCAGGTGGGACATTTTCCTTGTCCAAAGCGTGTGTTTGTGTTTGTCTGACAGCTGTTTCTTTGAGAGGAAAACAGAAAACGCTGCTTTGACTTCTGGTCAGGCTGCTGCCAGGAGTCAGACACAGCAGTGACAGACACAGCGTCACGAATAAGGAACAGGACACCATCCTGTGGACCAGGATTGTGGGGGAGGCGACGGCAGAAGCAAGGATGGACACTCAGGCCCCCACAGCACCCAGGGGTGCAGCCCCGAGCGTGGCAGGGACCCCTTGGAGCAGGAGCTGTGGCCAGGCCTTGGTGTGAGAACAGGCGTCGGGCAAGGCTCGTGCACCAGCCACACCTTAAACCCAGCGTCACCGCCTCTCTGGAGCCCAAGCACAGACGAACCCCAGATCCACAGGGAAAAGCGCGCGGGCCTCGCCGGAGGGGAGCCTGCAGATACGAGTTCCGGGCGCGAAGGGGGACAGCACACAGGCGCCACTGGAGGTGAATGTAGATGACGGGAGCCCTCACAGGCATCTGCAGACTGTGCTTCAGATGCACAGGGAGCTAAAAGCACAGCGTCCATTGAAACAGGTCGAGAAACAGGCAGGCGGGAGGGAGGGGCAGGCCACGGGGGAGGAGTCCAGCGGGGTCTCGGGAGCTAGTGGGCCAGCGCCGCCCATTTCAGGAGCAGAGCCCCCTCTGCAGGGCTGGGCTGGGCTGCGCGGCTAAACCAGGCAGCAGCACACAGGTCTGCCCCTTATCTGCACTTCCATACGCCACAGATACTTAGAGATTTTTAAGATGGTGTCTGAGGGTTCCTGGAAATGAGAACTAGCTGCTGGATTTAAAGCTCGGTGCGCTGGCCAGACGCTGACTGGCGCTGGCTGCGGACGGCAGTCGTGGACGGAGAGGGATGTGGACTCCACTCAGGACACGCGCAGAGAAGGACCCCAGTGAGGAGGGGAGGCGGGGCAGGGCCAGCCGGGAGACTCCCCCGTCTGCACCCCACGAGGGCCTGGAGAAGCGATGGAAGAGATGCGGGCGGGTTCCCAGCACTGAAGACACGCGGCCTTCCAGGGTGCCCACCACGGAGCAGGAGTGCCTCCCGTGGAACCCGGAGAGCGGGCCACCTCCCCAGCGCTCTTTCACTGCTGTTTCTCCTTCTCACTTTACAGCACAAACGTCGATTCCCACGGACGTCCATAGTTCTGTTTTGAACAGGTCTCACCAGTGTGTTTAGTGACTGTCAGGATTGGTGGGGAATTTACTCACTTTACGGGACAAGTGCCAGCGAAGAGGTGGCCGTGCTGGAGCGTTTGTCCCCCAGTTCCCGGCGCATCAGCGATGGTCGTGTGCCTCGCGGGATCCTCGTGCGCCTTCGCTTTGCGGGACCAGTCCCGTGCCTCCTCAGCGACGTGTTAGGAGAATTACTGCCCACGTGGGTGGGAAGGAGGGATGCCAAGACGCCCCCTCCAGACCTTCCCATGGCCTCCTGTTAGACACAGACACTGGCCAGCCCCCACATGCCGTCCGTTCTACCCGAGTCGCTGCTTCCTCAGGAAGGGTAACTGAAGCAGTTACAAAGACAGATTTGCAGGCCACCTGCTGTGTTTAGAACTCAGGCATTGGGGCCAGCCCCAGTGGCCTAGTTGTTAAGATCAGCAGCCCAGGTTCAGTTCCCAGGCACGGACCTACACTGCTCTCTTAGCAGCCATGCTGTGCTGGCGGCCCACATACTAAAAAACGGAGGAAGATTAGCACGTTTGTTAGCTCAGAGTGAATCTTCCTCAGCAGAAAAAAAAAAAAGCCTCAGGAGTTGGGAGGTGCCATCATACAAAAATGCACTGGTGAATTCCAGTTCCACGTTGCTTTGAGGTCGGCCTGAGCCGGTGGGAGACAGCGTCACTCACGCACGTGGAGGCACCAGCCTCACTCTGCGACCCCAGCAGCTGGCCAGCGTTGACAAGTTAGGAGCCTCTGTGACTCAGTTCCTCCCCCTGAGCCGGGGGGCCTGCTCGCAGGCTGATGCAGGGCCACAGGAGGGGTTCTCGGCAGGGCCCGCCCTGCGGCAGCTCCCCCTTTCCTGCAGTGGCTGCAGGTTAAACACGCAGGCTTCCCCACTATCAGCCACCACGAGCCCAGCGCCCCTGGGAAGGTGCCGGTGTCTTCCGAGAGTCAGTGCCAGTGGGTCCCACTCAGCTCAGGTCCGGCCCCCTGCAGGGCGTCCTGACTCCACGTGTTTAATGTCTGTCGATCAGCCGGGAGCAAAGCCACCGCGTGTGATGGCACAGGCTCACAGCCGCATGCCCGTGTGTGGAGGTCGGGCCTCCCGCCCACCGTGGGCAGCTGCTCCAGCTCACGGCCGTGGGCACTCCTGCCGCGCCCATCCTGGGCCCAGTCGTCTGCTGAGCCTGTGAGACACCCTCGTAGGCCAGGGGCTCGCTGTAGGTGTGGGAGGAAATCTCACACTGATGAGCACCGTGCCCGTGACAGTGAGTGTCCACCTGTCGGCAGAGGTCCTTGTTTTCAGCAGCAGTGTGGCCTGGTGTCGGAGGCTCAGCAGAACAGAACCGACACAGCTGGTGCCCGTCCTGTCACTGAGCCCTCAGCTCCATCCCCAGAGCCTGCAGGGGCGGAGGGCAGGCAGCTGAGGTCGTGCCATGCTGTCTGCTCGGCGGGCTGTACCAGGCGGCTGGACGTGCTACCTGTGGATGTCGGGCCGACTGAGCATCTCAGCCGGGGAGGGCGGGGGCCGCCTTGAAGCTGGGAGCCGTGCAGACCAGCCCAGGCTGCCGAGCACGCGGGCACGGGCGGGGCGGGTCACCCCTCCACTCTGTGTCCACTGACACCTTGTACGTGAACTCTGGGTGCACAGCCTCCCCCAGGCTGCGGCTCCCTGGCCGGGTGAGGGCTCCAGGGGTGCGGGCTGGACTCCTGGCCGGAGTGTGCAGGCGAGCGGGCTGCTCTGGGCCTGTCTCACCACCTGCTCCGGCCCCTCCTTCCAGAGCTCCTGAAGCGTCTGGACGACGTGTCCAACGACGTGAGGCTGGCGGCTGCCTCCACCCTGGCCACCTGGCTGCGGCGCGTTGAGAGCGACGGCAGCAAGTCCTGCTGCCAGAGCGACATCCAGCACCTGTACAAGGAGCTCCTCGTGCACCTCGACGACCCGGAGGGCGCCGTGCAGGACGCGGTTCTAGGTGAGGCGGCCGCGACTTGAGGGTAACACTCACGCCTGTTGCAGATGTCAACACAGACCTTCCCAGCCGGGCCATTTGACCGGCCCCGGGCGCAGCAGCCCAGGCGGTGGGGGCTCCCTCGGCCCGCGGTCTCGGGCCCCGACCCCTCTGTGCTCAGAGTCACTGGAGCTCCCGAAGGCTCTGACTTTGTGGGTTAGGGACCTGACGTTTGCCTTGGTAGACGTTAGAAGCGAGGACACTGTGAGATGTTTATTGATTTGTGTGAAATAACAATAGATCTGTTACAGGTTAACATAAATAACATGTTTTCCAAAACAAAACAATGAGCAAGAGGAGGGGCACAGTTTTGTATTTCTGCAAATCTCTTACTGTCTCGCTTGGTAGAAGACACCTGGATTTTCACGTCTGCTCCGGCGTTCGGTCGGTTGTGACAGACTGTGGTGGTTGAAGGATATGAAAAAAGTCTGGGCTCAGACACGTGGTTGGAAAAGAGAGAAGAGTCTTAATAGCCTTTTTGGGTAATTGCTGGTTGTCTTTGACGCTGTACCCAAACTGGGCAGGTGGTAGTCTCCAAACGGTTCCTGGGGTGTAGACTCTGAAGCCAGCGTGTGCTGGACTGGGTGCGTCCAGGTCCATCAGTCCAGCCTGCACCTTGAATTGGCCAGTGTCACGTCATGTGTTGGTCACTCGGACAGCGTTGCTGTTGAATTATGAACGCCTTCCTAGTGTTGGCACGTTGTGTTACGCCGCGTCAACACGTCAGTTCTGTTGGTTTATCACTGGCCTCAAATACTGTCAGTCGATTCATTTTTGAGAGGATGTTCTTCAGGTGCCAGAGTCCGAGTAACCCGAGTCTGTTAGTTGTCTGTCGGTCGGTCGTTCTTTGGGGTGAAGGTGGTGCCGGGGAAGCCGCTGGTTCACAGCCGCTGTGCTCCTGCGTCGCCCGCGGGGCCTGTACCATCCGGGCTGAGGGGACACGAGCCGGGACGTGTGCCGTCGCAGGGTCTGGACCTTTGGAGTCCTTTATCAGATGTGTCTTTTGCAAGCATTTTCTCCCAGTCTGTGGCTCGTCTTCTCCACTGCTGTTTTCTAGGGCTTGTATAGTTTTGCATTTTATATTTAGGTCTGTGGTCCATTTTGAGTTAATTTTTGTGAAGAGTGTAAGGTCTGTGTCTAGCTTCTTTTTCTTTTTTGTGTGTAGCTGTCCAGTTACTCCAGAATCGTTTGTTGAAAAAACTGTCTTTGCGCCACTGTATTGCCTTTCTCCACGGTCAGAGATCAGCTGACTGCCTTGATGTGGGTCTGTTTCTGAGCTCTCAGTTCTGTTCCCCTGATCTGTTCGTCTCTCCTTTCCCCAGTACCACACTGTCTTGACTGCTGTGGCTTAATACAAAGTCTTGAGGTCAGAGAGCGTCAGTCCTCCACCTTGGTTCTCCTTCAGTATTGCCTTGGCTCTTCCGGGTCCTTGGCTCTCCACATACACTTCAGAGTCACTTTGTCAATTTCTACAAAACACCTTCTGGGATTCTGATGGGGATTGCGTTAAATCTGTAGATCAATTTGGGAAGAACCCACATCTCGCAAAATTGAGTCTCATCTGTGAACACGGAATGTCTCTCTATTTCTTGAGTTCTTTGATTTCATTCCTGAGAGTTTTGTTATTTTCTTCAGAAGATCTCGTTCACGTTTTGTTACATTTACACCTGAGTATTTCTCTCCGGCTGCCATTAATGTAAATGGCGTTGTGTTTCCACTTCAGAGTCCGCTGTCCGCTGCTGGTGCGTAGGAAAGCGATTTGCGTCTGTTAACCTGCGTCCTGCAGCCGTGCCGGAATCGCGCATTAGTTCTGGGAAGTTGTTAGTTCTTCCAGATTTTCTACGTAGACAATCACGTCTTCTGCAAACAAAGACAGTTTTGTGTCTTCCTTCCCTGTCTGTGTATTATCTTCCGTTTCCTTTCGTGCCTCACTGCGTTCGCCAGGACTTCCACTACCGTGCTGACCGGGAGCGGCGACAGGACTTCCTTGCCTTGTAGCTCTTCTTATGGGAAAGTTTGAGTTTCTCACTGTCGAGTATGTTAGCTGTAAGGTTTTTGTAGATGTTCTTTACTGTGTTAAGGAAATTCCCCTCTATTCCTAGTTTACTGAGAGTTTTTTTTAATCATGAATGGGTGTTGGATTCTGTGAAAATACTTTTTGCATCTATTGATAGGATCGTGTGGTTTTTCTTCTTTAGCCTGTTGATGCCATGGAGGACACTGGTTTTGAAATCTTGAGCCAGTCTTGCACCCCTGGGATAAATCCCACTGGGTCTTGGTGTATAATTCTTTTTATCCATTGTTGGGTTCGATTTGCTAGTGTTTTGTTGAGGATTTGTTTGCATCTGTGTTCACAAGGGATCCTGGTCTGTGGTTTTCTCGTGAAGTCTGGGTTTGTCTTAGGGGATGCTGGCCTCGAAGAGTGAGTGAGCAAGTGTTCCCTCTGCCTCTGTCTTCTGGGAGAGAGTAGAGAATTGCTGTCATTTCTTCCTTAAATATTTGGTAGGATTCACCAGTGAACCCATCTGCGGCTGCTGCTTTCTGTTTCAGGACGTTATTAATTACTGATTCACAATTTCTTTAATAGATATAGGTCTGTTAAGATTGTCTATTCTTGTGTGAGTTTTGGCAGGTTGTGTCTTTTAGACAACTGGCCCACTTCACGTAGGGTATCAATTTGTGGGCAGAGAGTTGTTCAAGCAACCAGCTTTGGGTTTTGTCGATTTTCTTTATTGATTTCTCTGCTAATTCTTCTTATTTCTTTTCCTCTGCTGACTTTGGATTTAATTTGCTCCTCTTTGCTAGACTTCTAGGGTGGAGCCTGTTTCTGATTTCAGATAGTTCAATGCTATGAGTGTCCCTCTACGTGCTGCTCTCCCTGCGCTCACAAATTGCTGGGATGTGTTTTCATTTTCACTTAGTTCAAAACATTTTTTCATTTAGCTTGAGATTTCTTCTTCGAACATTATGCTATTTAGAAACATGCCGTTTAATCTCCAGACATTTGGGGGTTTTCCAGTTCTTTCTCCGTTACTGACTTATATAATTCCGCTGTGGTCTGAGAGCAGACAGGCGATGACTTCCGGTCTGGTAAAGTTGTTCAGGTGTTTTACGGCCCACAGTGTGGTCTCTCTGGTGAGCGTTCCATGGAGTTGAGAAGAATCTAGACCCTGCTGTCGCTGGATGGGGAGTGTGCAGATGTCCGTGTGTCCATCTGACTGACGGTGCTGCTGCGCTCAGCTGCGGCCTTGCTGACCCCCTGCCTGCTGGATCCCTTCCTGTGGGAGGGCGTGGAGGCCTCCAGCTGCCGGCGTGGACTCGTGTGTCTCTCCCTGCAGCTCGTCGTGTTGTCTCACGTAGTGTGGTGCAAGTGTGGTGCTCTCGTTAGGTGCATACATGTTTAGGACTGCCCCGTCTCTTTGGAGAGTGGACCCTTTATCATGATGTATACCCTGTTCATCCCCACTTTGCAGTCTGCTATGCTCAGGGCTGTTTTAACTTGACTGGGAAACCTACCTGCATCAACAGGAACTGGTTTAGTTTTTGCTTCTGGTACTTTAAAGGTGTTCTGCTGTTTTACAGAGGTCCTCAAGGCCGGCAGCGTCCTGTTCCCTGACCTCCTGGTGCGGGAGACGGAGGCAGTCATCCACAAGCACCGCTCCCCCGCCCACTGTGAGCAGCTCCTGCAGCACGTGCAGGCCTTGCCGCCTGCTCCATGACCTGAGTTCCGGGAGCACAGCCTCGTCCGCAGCTGGAGGGCCTTGTCCGCAGCTGGAGGGCCTCGTCCGCAGCTGGACGGGTCTGTGGCCTTTAAACCTCCCAACACCAAAAGGGCAGCTTTGTGTCAACAGCCTGGGACACTCACAGGCAAGGCTTAGACAGCAAGAAGAATGTTTCCCTCAGAAGCATGCCCAGTGCTCCCCTGGGACAGCTTCTCAAACCCGCAGTTTCTGAGATGACACTCACTGAGTGGCGTCTGTATCTTTATGTCTCATTCACACAGTCCATCGAGAGGTCTGCCACAAACCTGCAGCGAATTCGAGATGAGAACTAAATGCCAACTCATACTGGCAGGCAAGTCAGCTCCTTTTTTTCGTAAGGCTACGTGCACTGCTGGGCTCATGGCTTAATTGGTTCTGTCTTGCTTACATGCCCACCAAGAAAGTTCTTGACTATTTTTTTTTTAAAAGTCAAAGCGATTAAAAAGAAATTTCATTCTTTCTTTGGGTTCTGTCTACTGAAACTTACCATCTCAGTGAAAAGACTAAAAGGAATTTGAAATCTTAAGGACGATTATCAATGAAATTTTTCCCATTTGAAGTATACTTGGACTCAGAATGTTATGTGGATATATTTGGTCACAGGGTTTTCTCTTAGATCAGCAATGCTAACGGTGTTGAAAACAGAATGTTTAACCAGATAGAATTTTGGTTGCTCTCTTACGAGTAGCAATAAAGTAAAATTGTATTTTATTCTCTAGCACTTTCTACACCCAAGTGCCTAAAAGGTTTCGTTTTAAGTGAGTGTTATTTCCATAAGCCAAATATTTATGTTAACACAAGGAAAAAAATGCCATGTGTATTTTCCAACAATCAAATATTAACATTTTTGCTTGATGTTTGAAAATTTAATTAAAAATATTTATTGTTAATTATTTTGTATGCCTGTCTTTGTGTTTCGGTAATTAATGCACATTTTGAGAAGTGGCTCCTTCTTCCTTAGATCTAACCTCCGGGTGACCCCAGCCCCAGGCCTTCTGGGCCTCTGCACTGTGGGGGGCTGGCTGCTCATTGTAGTGCCCTCTCTGGACACCAGGTGGCAGGAGCCCCACACAAGTGAGGACAGGCAGCAGGGCCCCCGGAGAGGCTGGGTGGGGGCCTGAATCTGCACACAGCTTGGGTCCCTGCAGCCTAGGCCGCAGGGGGCCGTCCCCTCAGAGCCCCTGATGTGGCTGCTCTCTGAGCCCAGGTTCTGGGGCCGACGTCTTCAATGGCCGCAGGGACGTCGGCTGCCCTCGGGGTGCTCTTCCACAGGCCCCTGATGGCCCTTGCCCTCTGCCTTCTCCACCCTGTCCTCTTCGGCATCACCTGGAACCCTGGTAGAAATGCACACTGTCAGGCCTCGGGCCACCTCTCCGGAATCAAGAGGGATCAGCCCTCCAGGAGAAACCGATGCCGCCAAAGCGCGGGGACCTGCCCTGGGCGCCACGCATTTTCACCTCCAGCAAGAAGGCCCATCTGCTCTCTGGTCAGCCGTTAAGTGTCCCAGGAACCAAGAGTAAAGGTCAGAGAGCTCGGCCGAGAGGACAGTGTGCTGAGGAACACACTCACCTCCTCCAGCGCGAGGCAGGTGTGGGGGGTGCCGACACCTGTGGCTGTCCAGCCCTGCTGCCGCACTGGCCACCACAGAAATGGCGGCACTTTTGCTCCTGTCCATCTTTCAGGGGAAACAGTCAGAGGCAGCCCCCTGGCGCAGCGTTAACAGGTGTGTGTGTCCAGAGAGACGTGAAAACCTGGCCCACGAAAGGTGGTAATCTCAACACTCCTGCTGACAAGCAACAGGTCCCTCGCCACTTAGCTTTGCAGGCTCTTGTCCTCTCCTCACTCAATTCAATCAGCAAATATTCCTGGAGCCCTGACCCCCATGTGCCAGGCGGCAGAGATGAGGGATGTAAAAATGCTGTCCCTGAGGTTCTCAGCTTTATCGAGCTGGAATTCACACACCGTGAAATTCCCCTGGCGAGTGCTTGGGTGGGTGGGTTTTAGCCCGTGCTCCCATCACCCCGGGGCTCCCTCGGCCCACCTGCAGTCAGTCCCTGCCCCCAGCCCAGCCCCGGCCAACACCGACCTGCCCATCTCTAAAGTCTCGTCTCTTCTAAATGTTTCACATAAATGGTTTCACATGATCACATGTGGTCTTGTGTGTCCGGCTTTTTTCTCTCAGCGTGACACTGTTGAGGTTGTCCGTCCATTCACTGTCCAGGGGTCAGCAGTCTCTTTCTGCAAAGGGCCGGGGAGTAAATACGTTAGGCTTTGTGGACCCTACGGCCTCTGCCACAAATATGCACTCTGCTGTTCCCCGTCCCCCTGTGGGTGGACATTCAGGTGGTGCAGTCCGGGGCCATCGTGACTAAAACTGCGCTGAGCTCTCACACCGTGTGAGCGTGCTCCATCACTCTTGGCGGGACAGCTCGGGGTAGAATTATAGGTCGTGTTTGACATGTCTGTAGTCCCTGATGGAATGATTGACGGCTGTCTTCACTGCTCTGTTGAGCTATACTTGACTACAATTAACTGCACATGCTGAGTGGGCAGTTTGCTACGTTTTGACACGTGGACACAGCCACGGGACCACCACCACCACAAGACAGCGAACCTCTTGTCTCTCCCGAAAGTCCTCTCCTGCCCCTCGGCAATTCTGCCCTCCTGCTCCCTCCCCCAGCCTCCCCCTCGCACCCCGTCTCCAGGCAACACTGACCTGCTTTCAGTCACCACACAGGAGTATGCACACTTTAGAATTATCTGCAAATGGATTTATACGGTATGTACTTTTTTGTGTGTCGATCTTGCTTCTTTCAATCGGCGTAATTATTTTGAGATCCATCCGTGATGTAATGTCTGCTGGTAGTTCATTCCTTTTCATTGCTGAGTAATATTCCACTGTGTGGCTACAACACAATTTTGATGTGTGTTTCTTTCGGGTTTTTGGCTATTACAAATAAAGCTTCTGAGAACACTCATGTACAAGGCTCTGTGTGGATGCACGCTTTCATTTCTCTTGGGGAAACACCCAGGAGTGGAATGGCAATCATGGTAGATGTATATTTAAGACTTTGAGTAACTGCCAAACTATTATCGAAACTGGTGGTTCCATCTTATCTTCCCACCAGCACTGCATGCCAGTTCCAGACCCTCCCGTTCTGCCAGCATTGGAGACATCAGCCTTTTTAATTGTAGCCATCTAACAGGTACGTGGTGGTATCTCCATATGGCTTTAATTTGCATTTCCTTAACGTCTAATGCTGTCGAGCCTCTTGTCATGTTCCTATTTGCCATCTGTGTATCTTCACTGGTGACATATCTTCAAGTCTCCCATTTTTTTAAAAAATTGGGTTGTTTTCTTATTGAATATGAGAATTCTTCATATATTCTAGATACAAGTGCTTTATCATAGATATGATTTGCAAACATTTTCTCTCAGTCTGGAGCTTGTCTTTTCATGCTTTCACAATGTCTTTTGAAGAACGGAAGTTTTTAGTTTTGAAAGAAATCTAATTTATCGATTCTTTTATGGATTGTACTTTTGGTGCCGTATCTAAGAAATCTTTGCATAACCCATGGTTTCACTTCCTGAATTTTAAGAAGCTCAAAGAGTTATTTTCATAAAGGTAATTCATCTATTTGCCGCTCCCAGCACCACGGTTCAAAGGCAAGTTCTACTTCCTTTTAAAATCTCCTTTCTGTGACCTGAATGACAACATGAGATGCCTCTAGGGTGAGTGGGTTTAAGGTAAAATCTCCCTTTTAACAGCCAGGGCAGCCCTGTACTTGCCGGTGTGGAATAACCTCTAAAAGACACTAAGAGTCGTAAAAACAAGAACAACAACTGCGTAGAGAAGGCACCACACACAACAGGCGGAGTGAGGGAACTTCCCATTTGCTTTTGTACGCATAAAATATTCCCAGAAGGCTACAAAAGAAACGGGTAAGAGTGGTGGCCTCCGGGGAGGGGAGCCATATGGCTGAAGACAGGAGGGGCAGGTCGGCCTACACTGTTTGGTACCTTTGAATTCACTTTTGAATTCACTTTCTTGTGCGTGTATTACCTACTCAAAAACACAACTCGGCTGAGAGTGACTCGTAAGTCAGAAACCCAGCTGACAATGGTGATGCTCGGAGCCCGAGTCAGCACACCCGCTGCTTCTGCATGGACCGCAGGGCTCTGTTCCAGGGGAGGAGGCTCAGGAGGTCACAGCAAAGGTTGATCAAGAAGTTGCTGAGAAATGAAAAGGCACAGACTCGTACCCAAGTGTTCCTAGCAGCTTGAGTCCAGCCCCAAACTGGAAATAACCCGAATGTCCATCCACATTTACGACTGGGTCAGCGACCTGCAGCAAATCCAGGCCACAGGATACCCCACGGCCGTGAAAAGGAGCGAATGACCAACGCACACGGCCTCAGGGATGGCTCTCAGACGCAGGCAGAATCAAAGAGGCCGGCCGTAAGGGGCGCGGGCCATGCGGCTTCCTCTCTGTGGAACAGAGAACAGGCAAAGCTGTCCCCCCCATCTTTCTTAATCATCGAACCAGCGATGGGTATCGAGAAGCCTGCTATACCCTTCTGTCTACTTGCATGTGTGTGAATTTTGTGTGAACTATTTCATAATTGCAGGTATTAAAACTCTAAAAACCAGCCTCTGGCTGAGCTTGGAAGGCCAAGGCTAATAGTAAGTGCTCCCAGAGGCCGCCTCCTCCAGGCAGGAGCAGGGAGTGTGGTGTCCTCTTGCCAAAGGCTTGCCTGCCCACTACCAGTTGCCTGACGATCAGCCTGGAGAATTAAACTTTCTCTAAAGACCAATCTTTCTTCCCGGCTTTTCCCCATTCTCCAGGATTCTCTGAACAGCCAGGGTCATCCAGACATGCCCCACGTGACGTGAGACAGGAGAGAAGCAATCACTGCACGCTGCTCAGGGTGGTGGGCTGTGGATGGCTTTCCTTTTTCCCGTTTTCCAGACTTGAGTCAGTTACCATTTTAATACCATTTTAAGAGGCCACAGGCAGTGCCGTCGAGGACAACTGGTATCTCAGGAGGGAGACTGCAGCCTCCACTTATGCATGACCCCCTCAGCCTCTCTGCTTGGACCTGGGCACGTCCTTGACCTTGAACCCCAGGGGTCTGAGCCTCTTTCCTGTGACTCGTCTTAGAAGCAAACGATGGCTTCAGAGGCTGCCGGGACACGAGGCCCGGAACCTGTCCCAAGGGCGAAAGCACCTGCTCCTCTTCTCAGGCGTCTGCGCGGGGTTTTCTTAATGTCCTGGAAGGTGGAACTTGGAGAGACGAGCAGCGCCCGCTGCTGGCTGGCAACAGGCGGGAACTGCAGACACAGACTCTACTTAGAAGCCCAAGTAGGCTTGCTCCGTGGCCCACGTGCCGGCACCTCCACCCTCTAGGACTTTATGTGGGTTTCCTTATTTCCGTTCTTCAAAGGCAGCTGACAGGTTGGACTGAGACGGAGCAAAGAGAGGTGGGGACGATGGTAAATGTAGGGGGCAGAACAGCGGCCTTGGGAAGGAAGGTGGGGGACCCGGGTTTGGCGCAGACCAGGCGCGCTCTTTCACAGCCTCCTAATTACGGGCACTTGAGATCTTCGTGCTCGGGATCAATGCCTCCGGGCTCTGTGTCCACGCAGGGGGCGTCTGGTCCTAACACAGGCGCACACAGTCCTGCTCCCGGCACGGCTGCGCAGGTAAGGCTGCAGGAAACGACCCTCCTGGGCAGAGTCCACTTGCCCGGGAGAAGGGGCTTCCGTCTCCGTGGTGGGACGACAGCTCCCCCTTCACTCGCGAGACACAACTGGAGACATTTCACACACAACCTGAGGCCCCTGAGGACAAAGCAGCAAAGCCGGGATGAAGGACGGCCGACGTGGAGAGTCAGACTCCTGCGGGACAAACCGGATCTTCTGACAGCTCGGTGACCTGCAGCTTCTCTCCCACCCACGTGCCCTTCCCGTGTCACGTGGCAACTCGCGTCCCCAAACGACGCAGCAGGCGCTTGGGATCTTTGTTCCGGGGCAGCCGAGGGACAGGAGCCTACAGGTCTTGCCAGGCCTCCCTCCCGGCCCAGTGAGGCCAGGGGTCCAAGGGTCCCATCGTCAGGGGTCCCAGGGGTCAGGGATACCCAGAGTCAGGGATACCCGGGGTCAGGCGTCCCAGGGGTCAAGGATACCTGGAGTCAGGGTTTCCAGGGGTCAGAGATACCTGGAGTCAGGGATACCCGGAGTCAGGGGTCCCAGGGGTCAGGGATACCCAGGGTCAGGCGTCCCAGGGATCAGGGGTCCCAGAGGTCAGGGATCCCTGGAGTCAGGGGTCCAAGAGTCCCAGCGAAAGGGGTCCCAGGGTCCAGGGGTCAGGATACCCAGAATCAGGGGTCAGGGATACCCGGAGTCAGGGGTCCCAGGGGTCCAAGGGTCCCAGCGTCAGGTGTCCCAGGGGTCCCGGGGTCAGGGATACCCAGAGTCAGGGGTCCCAGGGATCAGGGATACCTGGAGTCAGGGGTCCAAGAGTCCCAGAGTCAGGGGCCCTGGCGTCCACGGTCCCAAGGTCAGAGGTCACAGGGTCAGGGGTCTGCAGTCTCTGCTGCCCGGCCCACCCAGTGAACTGCCACTCAGCGCCCAGGAAACCGAGCAGCCCCTGCACCGGCGGCCACACGGAGAGAAAGCGCCACTGTGACATCCGCCAACCCCTGTCGCCCGTCCCCCCCACCCCCACTTCAGGACGGGTCAGCACCGCGCCGCCTCCGTGCGGTCCCACACCCGCAGCGGCCGAGCCTCACGACGCCGACAGCCCGAGACGTCCTCCCAGCCGCCCTTGCGGCGGGGTGCGGCCACGTGAGCTGGCTCGGCCAATGGGAGGCACCAGCGCACGTAGGCCGGGCATGCGCAGGAGCGCCTTCAGCACCGCGTTCTGGAGGCAGAGTCGGCGGCCCCGATTGGCCGAGCCCGGTCACGTGGCAGTGCCCCGGGATTCCCTTCCAGGCGCCAGTGTAGGCGGGTCGGGAGTGTCGCAGGCTTCCGGGCCACTGGCGTTTCCGGTTCTGAGTGGCAGGTCGTCCCATCAGGGCATGAGCTGTTTGTTTGCTGTTGTTTTGATGATGCGTGAAAGAGAAAAGGTCATTCTCCCCTTCTCTCTCTCTCCCAGAAATGGAGGCTGAACCCTGATCACGTGGTACCTGCAGTCCACCCAGGTCTCTGCAGTGACTTGAGTCACTGAAACCTGTATTGCTTAAGCTGGTTTGAGCTGAGCATTCTGTTACTTGCAAAGTAAAAACACAGACTTGAAACAGAGACACATACGGGTCAGAATGACCTGGAGAAATTAAAATTTTAAAATCCTAAGCTCGTGTCTAAATAAGAGAAAGTGTTTGAGCCACTAGGAATGAGACTCCCGTCCCTCTGACTGGGGTTCGCTTCCCACCGTCCCCCCTTCCCCAGAGATTTGGGAGGGGAGCAGGTGCACGTGAGTGGGGAGGAGGGGGAGTTGGGCTGAGGGACTGCAGCTGCGCTGTTGGCGATGAGACCGTCCTCTTCTAGCGAGGCTCTGAGTCCCCACCCTGCAGCTCTGAGGACAAGCTCCGCGCCCCAGACACTGCCCCCAGGGAGCCCGCACGAGGACCACAAAGAGGCCACCCACCTGCGGCTCGTCACACCCTTCCTGCAGGGAAGACCTCGGAGCTGGGGGAGAACCCGTGTCTGGGACCCCGGCTGGGAGATGAGGGCGGGAGCACGGCCCTTCCGCCTTCACCACACCCTCCTTTCCTGGTGGAAAAAGTGCTCCAAGTCCGCCAACACGTACAGATGAAGGAAGTGGCTGATTCCAGGGCCGGGGCGGGGAAATCCAAGATGAGCCTGGAGGGTCCTGCAGTGCCACAAAGTAGGCAAGCGCTCAAGAAAGGATGGGGACCTGCAGACAGGCTCGGGGGCCACCCCGAAGGAGCTCCTGATGGCCCAAGCCGCAACAATATGAGCAGCGAAATCAGTAACAGTACTCTTGGATCCTAACTTACAGGATAACGTACAAATCCACGGGTCCACAGTGAGATGGAGAAAGAATAAAGAAGTCGGGGAGAGAGGACGGCTCTGCCTTACAGAAATATTCAATTAACAGACGTGCTGGGAACGAGGGAAAGAGAAAGTCAACGTTGGGCAAACGCCACGGCAATAATCGTCGCCCGCGAGATCTACCGAAGGACGCTAGGGTTCGTGGGCGAAAGTTTGGAGGCAGATTATTGCGTGGCTTCGAATATCTCCCCCAAGACAGAGTCAGGGGTCCCAGGGGTCAGGGATACCCAGGGTCAGGCGTCCCAGGGATCGTAACTCCCAGACAGCCAGCTTGTCAAAGTTGCCGTTTATAGTTAGAACAGACTGAAAATATTTACTTCTTCGTGCTTTGCTTGTGGATGGATTCCAAAGGCTAGAAATCAATCAGCAGTATTTTCCGATGATGGCCGTATGTGTTTTGTTCATTGAACGGCCCGTTGGGCCGGGCTTTTCCTCTCTTTGTGCCCAAGAAAATGATGGTACTCCGTGAATTGCTCAACATAAGGCCACCATTGGCTTTGCTTCACGTTTAGGCCACAACTTTCACTTACAGCTTTTTGTTTTATTTCTTGAGTTTGTAATTGCCTTTCTTTTTCTTTTCTTTTCTTTTTTTTTTTTTTTGACAAAACAAGAGTGCACCTTCACTATATCCTCACACGGACCCAGGCTCTCGTGCTAGATCTTGCCCAGAAGGCTCACTTTTTTCCGTGTAGTTGTCTGTCTCAGAGCCCTCCGGCCTCTGTGCTGTCTGAGCTGCTGCCCAGCCGTCAGTGTGGACGTCACCCCACGGCCCTCCAGACTGGTCCAACTGCTCACCTGGGCTCGAGCTCGCCCTGTTCCTGGTTTCCTTCTTCGTTTGCTGATATTACACACACGTCCTCAGAAAGGGGTGTCTTTGCCTGTCTGAAAAGGCCTTTAATTTGCCCTCGTATCGGGGCATAGATTTCTAGATCCCAGATTTTTCCCAGGCCCTGGGCAATGACTCACCTGTCTTCTGTCGCTCAGATCAGAGCTGTCTTCTCTAGACTGTCGTGCTCAGGACGATGTTTCTGAGACTTACCCGTGTTCTTGCCTATATCCATGGTTCATTCCATTTTTATTGCTGAGTAGTAGTCCATTGTGTGGATATACCACTTTTTTTTTTTTTTTTTTTTTTTTTGCTGGGAAAGATTTGCCCTGAGCAAACATCTGTGGCCAATCTTCCCCCTTTTTTTTTATTCCCAAAGCCCCAGTGCATGGTTCTATATCCTAGTTGTAAGTCCTTCTAGTTCTTCTCACAGCATGGCTACTGACAGGCAGGTGGTGTGGTTTGATGAGGAGGAAACAAACCCGGGCCGCCAAAGCGGTGAGAACACCCACTTTTAACCACGAGGCCTTCAGGGCTGGCCCTGCGATTTTTGAACTGTCCACGAGTTGAGGGACATTTGGGTTTTTCCAGTCCGGTTTTGAAGAACGCTGCTGTAAACATTCACGTACGAGTCTTTGCGCGGACATAACGCTTACGTTTCACTTGGGCAAACCCCCGAGAGTGGAACAGCTGGGTCGCGTGGTAAGTGTGTGTTTCACCACGTAAGAAATGGCTCATCTGTTTTCCAAAGTGACTGTAACACTTGCCATTCCCACCAGAAATGCAGGAGAGAGGGCTCCACTTGCCCTGAGTCTTTCCCATCACGTGGTGTGGCCAGAACTCATGATTATTCCAGGCAACTCGCTTTCCTTGACGGACCTAAACAGAGAGGTTGGCAGGAGCTTTGTGGCCAAGGACAGGGTTTACCAGCCGTCTGCTGTGCTTGTGAGGGACAGACAGGGAGGAGCCATTGGGGACCAGGGGCCGCACTGACCAGGGGATTTCTCGGGAAACCCAAACCCAGTCTAAACTGCTCCCAAGCCCTCCGCTCCATTTCTTTGGAGAACAGAGATCCGGCCACGCCAGCCACCAGTTCCTCTGTGGCCTGGGTGTCCGAGGCAGCCGGGCCGGCTGGAGCGGTTGTTCCAACCAGAGCTTCAGTTAATCCCCACGGTGCCAGCCCCGCCCCCGGACCTGTGGACAGAGCCTCTGAGACCGCAGGAAAGAGGAGCCCCCCGCATCCGTCCAGCCCCCCCGCCTGCCTATTCTGGGACGCTGCTTCCTCCACCCACAGCTGGCACTGCTTCCCTCCCTCCCTCCCTCCCCGAATATGTTGTAATCTCTCCTCTCCTGATGCCGCTCCCTCTCCACCCCAGGCCTCTTTTCTTTTTTTTTCTTGAGGAAGATTAGCCCTGAGCTAACTGCTGCCAATCCTCCTCTTTTTTGCTGAGGAAGACTGGCCCTGAGCTAACATCCATGCCCGTGTTCCTCTACTTTATATGGGGGATGCCTACCCCAGCATGGCTTGCCAAGCGGTGCCATGTCCAGACCTGGGATCCGAACCGGTGAACCCCGGGCCGCCAAAGTAGAATGTGTGCACTTAACTGCTGCGCCACCAGGCTGGCCTCCCCGCCTCCTTTCTTTCCTTTCTTTCCACACATCACTTCGATGAGGCCATTGGTGAGAAGGGAAGAAATCGCCTGAGCTCAGTCCTTCCTCTGGCCCTGGGATCTCAATTTCTGCCGATGGACGCGGGAGAGTGTCCACATGTGCTGTGAGGAACAGGGAGCAGGTTATAAACTAGCACATGCAGTATCCACTTTTATAAAAATATACGTATATGTACATAGAAAAGTGACAGGACAGACATAAAAATGTTTATAATAGTTACCTTCAGGAGCCGGCCCCGTGGTGTAATGGTTAAGTGCACACGTTCCGCTTCAGCGGCCCAGGGTTCACAGGTTCAGGTCCCGGGTGCAGACCTATGCACCGCTCATCAAGCAATGCCATGGCAGGCATCCAACATACAAAATAGAGGAAGATGGGCATGGATGTTAGCCCAAGGCCAATCTTCCTCAGCAAAAAAAAAAAAAAAAGTTACCTCCAGGTGATGGGATTAAAAGGATCTATGTTTCTTTTTAAATTTTTTAAATACTTTCATATGCCTTCTGAACACTTTGGTTACACGTGTGGCAGTTTTCATAGTGGCTGAAGCCTCAGGCTGTGGAGTCACTGGGTCTGGATTCACGCGTTCAATCTGCCACAGGCCTGCAGTGTGAACTTGGGCAGTTCGTCTCTGCCTCGGTGCCCTCGTTGTGAGGGTTCCGTGGGATTGCGTGCAGCTCAGAGCCCAGCGGATGCCAGCCCGCGACAGGCAGAGCTCTGTAAATGAGTTTTACGACCAAAGCAAACAGTAAACAGTCTGGACCACCCAGCCTGGAGCCCAGAGCAACCCCGGGCAGCTTCCAGGGTGAATGCCCTGCAAAAGGACTGCCGATAACTGGAGCAATCAATTTCTATGGATGAGGCGCTTAATTCTAGGAATCCCTGGATTCTGGAGAACGTCTCCAAAGATAACGATTTTGGTTTGAGAAGAGTTAGCATCGAACATTTTACTGGGACATCGCTCGGCTCCTGGGCCAGCCGTTCATGGGGGTTGTTCCAGAATGACCCGTCAATTCTCTGTGCCAGGGACGTACGGCCTCTTTGTCTAAGGTCGTTCATGTGACCACCGAGGTCCTTTAAACACGCGAGGGAGAGAACAGAACATGGTCACGTTCCCAGCCAGACGGGGCACCTGATCTCCCAGCAGCCCTCTCCTCCGGCCTCAAGTCTCACAGATTTGGGTTAAAATGCAGGTTTTCTCTGTGGATCACGTTGCTTGTTCTATGACAAATTTCTTTCTTTCTTTTTTTTCTGAGGAAGATTTGCCCTGAGCTAACATTCGCTGTCAATCTTCCTCTTCATTTTGAGTGTGAGCTGCCACCATAGCATGGCCACTGACAGACGAGGGGTGTAGGTCTGCGCCCGGGAAGCGAACCTGGGCCGCCGAAGCGGAGCATGCTGAACTTAACCAGTAGGCCCCCGGGGCTGGCCCTATAACAAATTTTTGTACATGACATGAAAGCCTGATGAAGAGCTACAAAAAGTGTAAACAAACCGTCTTCCACAATTGTTGACGGATTTCTGTGCAAGGAGAGCGTGTCCTGATGGAAGGGGAGCAGCTGTGCTGGCCGCCCCGTGGCTCCTCCCTCTGGGACGAGACTGAGGAACAAGCCTGGCACTTGGGGCAAAAGCTGATATAAAACTTTTTACCAAAAAAAAAAATTTTTGTTTTTGAGGAAGATTAGCCCTGAGCTAACTGCTGCCAATCCTCCTCTTTTTGGTGAGGAAGACTGGCCCTGAGCTCACATCCATGCCCATCTTCCTCTATTTTATATGTGGGATGCCTACCACAGCATGGCTCACCAAGTGGTGCCATGTCCACATCTGGGATCCGAACCGGCAAACTCCAGGCCGCGAAAGCAGAACGTGAGCACTTGACCTCTGCGCCACCGGTCTGGCCTCTCAAAAAAAATTTTTTTAATATTTCCTGACATAATGTTTTCAAAGGGGTTGGCGTCCATCCAAACTAACAGACCTAGAGTCCATCCATTCTACAGAATTTACGGAGGATCTATGGAGCACACACGGGCCAGGCCCTGTGCTGGCACCGGGGAGCCACTGATGGCCCCACAGACCCCACTCCTGCCTCTGGGGAGCTCGGAGTCCAGTACGCCATGTCCAAGAGAAATGCAATGCCAACACACACGGAATCTAGACTTTTCTAATGACTGCTTTAAAAAAGAAAAAGAAAAAGTTGAAATTTGTTTGGAGGATATATTTTATTTCACCCACTACATAAAAAAATAATCTCACTATCTAAACAATATAAAATATATTGTGATGGTTTACATTCTTTCCTTCGTACTGAGTCTTCAGTGCCCGATGTCTGTTTCACGCACACAGTACATGTCCATGATGACTGGCAGGACGGTCCCCGCCCTGATTTACTTGGGATCAGCCGGCTTCTGGCTCTGAAAGTCCTGTGTCCCAGGAAACCCATTGA